CTCGTCCTCCCTCCCTCCTCTCTCTCTCTCTCTCTCTCCCCCCCCCCCCCCTGTTCTGCCCGCAGGGACAGTGTGGCTTTGGCGACGCAAAAGGATGGGGTGCGGGAAGTGTTGGGTCCGAGCTTGCTGCCGCCGAGCCCCATTCTTGGCTACACGCTGCGAAAAGAGGGACTTATCGACGAGTCGGTGCGCCCGCCGCAAACTCTCTCTTCGCAAGACCTGCGATTGCTCACTGCCAAGCTTTCCTCAGTGGAGCAGCAGGTAAGGTACAGTGCGGAGACGCGGTTTACGCAGCAGGTCCACAATAGGGAACGACGCGGTCTTGAGCTCATTGTCAGCCTGTGCTTGTACATGTGCGGTTTGTATCTCACGCTGTGGAAGGCGCCTCGTTTGTATTTCGGTATGACACCGCGAAGTAGTGTTTTTTTTTTTACACGGCTTCTCTTGTTGATGCGATGGGACCTGCCTGAGGTTGAGAAGGAGAGAATGACACGGAATCACAGTTGGTTGTTTCAGCCGACGAATGCACGGGTCGCGTTATCGTTCTTGACGGGTTGCACACTGACAGCCATTGCAGTCGCTACACGGCCAACGCTCGACGTGTTGGATGTCGGCCCCGACGTCGAACTGGGGAAACAATCTGTTGGCTTTCAAAAGCACTCGGAGGCCGTGCTACGGTGGCTGTGATGTGTCTACTACCACCACCCAGCTTACAAGTCATTGGCACACGGGACGCTTCCACCGATCCTGCAGAATGTAGGCTCGAAGAGCTAGCTAGCTCTGGGCTTCGTGGAACGCTCCATGGACGGGGATAGGAAAACGCATGTACTTTTGTCTGTCTGTCTGTGTGCAATAAAAGGCGGTGACTTTTTTTTCCTGTTTTTGTTTTAAACATTCTTTAACTATGGAACTGCAAAACAATAAAGAAAATGGCGTCGCACGTGCTGCCCGAGTTTAGTGAGGAGCTTTTTGGTGTCTTGTTAGAGTTCTGCACCCCGTCCATGTCGCGCGTGGAGGCTCTGACGCAGGTGGCCCTTCGCCACCTACCGCATGCCACAGACACTTGGTCCGCCCTTCGGAAAGCGCTCGTTCGCCAGCAGGATTTGGCGTCGGATGGTAATAAAGCTCTGTGGTACTTGCTCGACTCACTCATGAAGCATGCACCGCACGTGTTCGTTCCTCTCATTTCGCCGCGATTACACGACTACGTTGTGCAACAGATGCCGTGGCACCTCGTTGGTGTGGTGTCGACGTTAGGCGGCGGGGCACTGTGGTGTGACGCGATGATTCGCACATGGGAGGGTGTGTTGCCGCCGCACCTGATGCGAAGCGTGAAGTCCTTTGTTCTGCAGCTGCGCAGCGGTAAAGAGTTGACGCAAGCAATGAGTCTGAACGACGACAACGATGATGTGCAGACCGTGGATCCTGCGGCGACACGTGAACAAATGCAACAGCTGCGGGAGGCGTGGGAGATGTTCTGGTCCTTCGCTGCGGAGGGGGCGCATGCAGCGAACAATGCCCCTGCAGTGCCAGCAGCCTCTGGCGCACCTCTGCTCGTGCAGGTGAAACGTGAGCAGCCGACGCCTCTCGCGAGGGTGAAGCTTGAAGAGGGTCCACAACTCGTTGGTGATGACGGCGGCGATGACGATGACTCCGATGTGGAGTACGTTCCAGCGTTTGTGAGAGGGGCACAGCACCGCGAGTTGCCCTCGCTGACAGGTGACGGCGTCACCACGCAGAAAGCACGTCGAGCCGCCCGACGACGACCGCGCGAGGAGGACTGAAGGAAGCGCAGCTTTATGAGGTGACAGTGGGACTTCACGTTGTTTAAGTTCCATTTTTCCGTGTCTGTCTGACTGTCTGTATGTCTTTGGGCGCGTGGGTGGTGGATTTGCTGAAGGAGTAACTTTTGTTTTTTTGTGTGTGTTTTGTTTGTTTTGTTTTTGCTCTCCTGCTTCATGGGTCTGCCTGCCGCCACTGCTGCCGACAGTGCCGCGGTGGCACGCATGGATGCACGTGTAAAGGTCTTCTCTTCCTTTTCTTCTTATTTCTTCTTTCACGCTGCTGGGGGTGTACTGCGGTAGCGCAGTAGGAAAGTGAATACAAAAGGAGAAAAAGGAAGAAAAGAGTCCGCCTTTTTTCTCAAAGCGTCGAATTTCAACCCAGAGGACGCGCGCTTTTTTTTCTTTTTGTATTTCGTTGTGTGTGTGTGTGTGTTTGCCCCGCGCTCCTTTTTTACCTACACCGCAATTCGTCTTCCGCAAAGCCGGCAGTAAAGCAGGCGCTACAGTTTCACCTGTTTTCTTCCACTGTCCCTGCCGTTCTGCGACGATGTCGTTGTGCCACACCGCCTCTCGCTGGCGCAGTGTGCAGTGCACAGGGGAGATCCCACCGGGACGCATAGGGCACACCTTGTGCGCCAACAGCGCGGAGACCAAGGTGTTTCTCTACGGCGGTGTCAACGACAGGAATGAGAGCATTTCAAACTACCTGGATGACCTCTACGTGTTTGACGTGAATAAGAAGCGCTGGTCCAAGATTGAGATGACGGGGCAGGTGCAGTGCTCCAGGGCGTTTCACTCCGCTGTGTACTATGATGGGAAAATATACATCTTTGGTGGATGCAATGGCCGTGGAAGGTTCAATAAGTTGTTTTCCACCACTGAGGAAGGCAACTGTACGCAGATTTTGGCAAACGGCCAGCCACCATCTACCAGGTATTGCCATAGCGCCGTGTTGTTTGAGAAGTGCATGTACATATTTGCCGGCAAATGCGGTGGCCGGAACAGCAACAGACGCCTGTCCGATCTTTACCTTTTCGATTTCAGAAAGAATGCATGGATGGAGTGCCCGCAGCATGGAGACCCGCCCACGCCACGCTCAGCCCATGCCGCCTTCACATGTGGGCGCAACATGATTATGTTCGGCGGGCGCAGCGCCCGAGGAGAATGCTGTGAGGACATGTACATGTACAACTACGACACGTGCATGTGGCGCCAGATTGAGTCCCCCAACAGCGCCTCTTTCTTTGGTAGGGCGCGGAACAGTGTCGTAGTGCACCACGGCAGGGTTGTTGTCTTTGGTGGGTGGAACGGGAAAAAGAAGCTGAACGACCTCTTTACTTACCACGTGGACGCTAACACTTTTGAGGTGATGCATGAGCCGGACGAAAACTGCCCGTCCAGAAGGGAATGCCACGTCGCCGTTGTATGCAAGAACACAATGGTGGTATTTGGAGGCCGGTTTCGCGGGGAGTTTATGAGCGACACGGCCGAGCTAGACCTCGGTCCTAAGACGCTGAAGCAGACCTGCCGCGACTGGATCCTACGGAGTAGTTTCAAGGAGTTGCACCAGGACTCCGGGGAAAGGGTTCTTCCGCTGCGGCTGCAACAATTTATTGAGAGCTGGAGGCAGCTGATATGCAGGGCGGAGAAGGCCGAGCCACGGACGCCGTTGCAGGATAGTGTTCCCAATGATGCACTCTCGTCGGATGGCAACTCCCAGCACGGGTAAACGGTGTGTGCGTGGAGCGAGATATGCAGCGGAAACGAGATTCAGTAAGGGAGAGCGAGTAGTGAGAGGCACGCTTGCGCACATCGACACCGGGTGCAGCGGTAGCAGCGGCGGTCTAGGGGCGTCGAGACGAACCCCCCTAACGAGTAGGAGGAGGTGGAGTGAGAAGTGTATATATGTATATATATATATATATATATATATAATAATAAAGAACGTGCGTGTATTGTAAGAGGGGGGCCGCTTCAAACAAGTGTTTTATTATTATTAATTTATTTACCCTGTCATCTACGCAAACTTATGCTGATGTTTGCATTTCGCGGTTGTACCGGAGCAAAAGGATGTTGCGTGGAAGCGATGCCGCCCTGGCTGCCGTACTTGGTGCCACTTAACAAACCGGAGGCAATGATAGGACTGCGGCAGAGAAGCGCAACGGCAAGTAACAATAACACTGAATAGTGGACGATGCTCAGCGAGCCTGGAAGGATGGCCAGCTCTGGCCACGTGGCATGCGGCCTAAATGGAAGGAGAAAGTGTTGTGTTGCTTCTGCGGCAGGGGGAGGGCGAGTACTCACACACCCAAACACACGTGCGCAGACACCGTGAAGTGGACGAGATGACACATGTATCGGCAAAATGTGCGGAGTAAAGCAATGCGACGCAAATACGATAGAAGCGAAACACAGATGAGGTAAAAAAAAAAGTCTGAATTAACTGTCTTGGGGTTGCACGTACTCTACAAACATGCGTGCTGGCATGTTTCTGCGTGTATGCTTTGCAGGACAATCCAGCTTTATATATAATATACATGCCTTGTCCTCTTTTGGACACCTACGGAGAAAGAACCATAGATAGGAAGGAAGAAGCATGCGGGAATTGGCCCAAATATCATTGGGTCTTAGAACACTTCCTTCATGTGTGCTCTCTTCTTGGTTCAGTTACGCCTGAGCGGTGTGTTGGCGTGTTTTAGTATATGCAGCGGATCAGACGAGAATAAAAAGGGTGCAAACTCTGTGCCAATAATGGAAAACAGATGGGGGTTTCCGTCAGTGTTTATCTGCAAAGGCAAACAAGAAGGAAAAGGAAAATAAACAAAAAATAGACAGGAAAATAATAAAGAAAAAACGTTTAGAATGGAGAACGAGGAAGAGGAGAAGATTATCTAGGACATATTATATATATATATATATAATATGGTGAATTTTTTGTTCTTCCTGTTGTAGTTGTTTATTTTAATTTGGCAGTATTTGTGTCTTAATGCGTTGTTCATTTTGTTTCAGTTTTCCTTTTTGCAGTTATGTGTGTCGTGTTGCTCGCGTGTGGGATTAGTTTACATATTCTGTATATACGCGGCGGTTGAGGTGAGTTGGCTTGTACTGGCAGGAAAGGTGAGAGGATGTGGGGCCAAAGCGGGTAGGTGTGAGGAGAGGGGTGGAGGGCGCCTCCCACCCGCTTCTTTTTTGCTTTCTTTTCTTCTTGTTTTTGGTTCTTCTATTTTTATGTGCGGTGGCAAATCTGGGCGTTGTGCCTCTTCACCCGGTAGGCGTTTATTAGCTCCCACTCATTGGCGTCTGTCGCGCCGGCCCCACTTTTTACTCGCCACTGCTGTGCGACACGCTGCAGCAACTCCGAGGAGGAGGTCCCACAGATTTGGGTGCATCAGAGGAGAGAAGGGGATGGGCTGACTAAGGTGCCCGCGGTCGTAGGTGGCAGATGGGGCAAGTGGGGCTTTCAAGGAGGTGGGGGTGGGGGTGGGTGGGAACGGCAGGGGGATTGCGCTGGGTGCTCGCAATGCTTTTTTTTTGTCTGTTTGTCTTGTTGTTTAAGTTATTTGCGGTCTCCTTTTTTTTTTTTTCTCTTCCTGTGGTGGTGTTTGCGCGCCCTGGCCGCAGTGTACTTTCTCAAGCGTGTTTGCACGGGGACAGGGGCGGGGAGGGGGTCTGAGGCGCTGCCCCCGGTGTGTCTGCCGCGTTGTGTGTGCCCATGCACGCTCACTTCTCCCTATTCATGTAGATAAACATAGACACGCATGAGCGAAGGGTGTGTGGCGGGGCGCGGGGGGATTGCTGACACTGGCGTTCCTCGTGCCACACCACAACAACCTGCGCCCCACTCCATTAGGCACACTTCCTTTCTTTCCTTCTTTCCTTCTTTTTTTTTTTTTACCATATCCGCCTGCCGCTGTCACCACTGCTATTAACTTTTCTCCGTACTTGTGCATCAAAAACCCATCTTTGTTGCTGCTGCAGGCGGAGGCCCTGCCAGTGTGAAGAGCATGGAGCCAACTCACACCACCTACACCCGCCTGACCACAGGAGAAGAACTGTGCCAGGAAACACCTCACATGCAAACTTTTATTTCCTCTTCTGCTTTTTATATATTTGCCCGCACCCCAATTTCTACACACACGCATTGCGGTTGCTTTGCTGTGATTCATACATAAACGTATTCCACATCGCAGCAACCATGGGCATTGTTCGTAGCCGTCTGCACAAGCGCAAGATCACCGGTGGAAAGACGAAGATCCATCGGAAGCGCATGAAGGCCGAGCTCGGTCGTCTGCCCGCGCACACGAAGCTTGGCGCCCGCCGTGTGAGCCCTGTTCGTGCCCGCGGTGGCAACTTCAAGCTTCGCGGTCTCCGCCTGGACACCGGCAATTTTGCGTGGGCCACGGAGGCCATTGCTCAGCGCGTCCGCATCCTCGATGTTGTGTACAACGCCACCTCCAACGAGCTGGTGCGTACCAAGACACTCGTGAAGAACTGTATCGTGGTGGTGGACGCCGCGCCCTTTAAGCTGTGGTACGCGAGGCACTACGGCATTGACCTCGATGCCGCGAAGAACAAGAAGACTGTGCAGGGCACAACGGAAAAGAAGAAGTCGAAGAAGTCCGCGCACATCGTCACCGAGAAGTACGACGTCAAGAAGGCCTCCAACGAGCTGCGGCGCAAATGGCTGAGCCGCCGCGAGAACCACAAGATTGAGAAGGCGATCGCCGATCAACTCAAAGAGGGCCGCCTGCTTGCCCGCCTCACCAGCCGCCCTGGTCAGACCGCCCGCGCTGACGGTGCGCTGCTGGAGGGCGCCGAGCTGCAGTTCTACCTGAAGAAGCTTGAGAAGAAGAAGAAGCGGTAGAGGGCGACGCTCGGGAAACGAGAAGAACAACCGCCATCCCATGGTGACGCACTCACTACTCATTTTGTTTTTATTCATTTACTTTTAGTTGTTGCACGCCAGAGAGGAGGCAATACACTCCCAGTGCGCTGTGTGTTAGTTTTTGTGGCCTGTCTTTTGTGGCTCTTTTCCGAGGGATCAGTTTGTCCTCTCACTGGCTTTGCACCCTTTCTCCTCTCTTCTGCTTTTTATATATTTGCCCGCACCCTAATGGCTTTTTTTTTTGCGCGTTCCGTTTAGTTTAGCGGCGTCAGCTTTGCGAATATATATATATATATAATATCTATATATCTAATATCTAATATATATATATATATATAGATATATTAAACTGTTAACTATGACCAACACTAAAAAAGACGAGTTGGTGACAAACTGTATCCGATGCCTTGCAGCGGACGTTGTGCAGAAGGCGAAGAGCGGCCACCCAGGGGCCCCGTTGGGCATGGCACCCATCGCTTATTTGCTGTGGTCGGAGGTGATGAAATATGACAGTAATGACCCGTCATGGATGGATCGCGACCGTTTTGTGTTGTCTAATGGACACGCGTGCGTTTTGCAGTATTCGATGCTGCACCTCTCCGGCTACGCTGTGTCTATGGATGATCTCAAGAACTTCCGCCAGATGGACTCCTGCACTCCTGGTCATCCGGAGCGCGGTGTGACGCCCGGGATTGAGGTGACAACTGGCCCACTTGGTCAAGGTATCGCAGAGGGCGTTGGACTTGCCATCGCCGAGGCCCAGTTAGCCGCCACCTACAACCGGCCGGGGCACAACATTATCGACCATTGGACATATGTCTTCTGTGGTGATGGCTGCCTGATGGAGGGCGTCGGTCAGGAGGCTCTTTCGCTTGCCGGCCATCTTGGACTTGAGAAATTTGTGCTTATTTACGACTCTAACCACATCAGCATTGATGGAAGCACCGACCTCGCCTTTACAGAGCACCCAAAACCGAAGTACGAGGCCATGGGATTCCATGTCATCGTGGTGGATAATGGTGACACGGGCTTTGACGCCATTCGTGGAGCGCTTGAGGAGTGCAAGAGGGTGAAGGAAAAGCCAAAGATGATTGTGCTCAACACAACAATTGGCTTCGGGTCGGCAATAGCTGGTACCGCGAAGGTCCACGGTTCCCCGCTCGGAGACAGTGACATTCATCAGTTGAAGCAGCGCTTTGGCCGCGATCCTTCAAAGAGGTTTGATGTGGAGCAGGAGGTGTACGACGTCTTTAAGCAACACGTTGCCGTCTGTGCGAAGAAGCACGTGGAGTGGAAATCGGCGATGAAGAAGTACGCTACTGAGTTCCCCAAGGAGGCCGAGGTTTTGTATGCACAGCTAAAGGGCGAGCTGCCCTCTGGCTGGAAGTCGAAGCTGCCACTGAACGATGGCTCGTCGATTGCCACACGCAAGGCCAACGAGAACACCTTGGCGGCGCTCTTCCCCCTCGTTCCGGGACTCATTGGCGGTTCTGCAGATCTCACACCGAGCAACCTCACACGCCCGAATTCGGCTGTCCTGGCCGACTTTCAGAGGGCCACTCCACACGGTCGCTATATTCGCTTCGGTGTTCGCGAGCATGCCATGTGTGCCATCATGAACGGTCTCCATGCTCACGGTGGGTATATTCCATTCGGTGGGACATTCCTAAACTTTTTTGGCTACGCGCTTGGTGCCGTCCGGCTGTCTTCCCTGTGCCATCACCATGTCGTGTTTGTAGCGACTCACGACAGCATTGGTCTTGGCGAGGATGGTCCAACGCACCAGCCGGTGGAACTTCTTGCCGCCCTGCGTGCGACGCCGAACCTGCTTGTGTTTCGTCCTGGTGATCAAACGGAGACGAGTGCGGCATGGGCTGTGGCGCTCGAAAACAAGAAGGGTCCATCTATTGTGTGCCTGAGTCGTCAGAATACTGTGCCGCAGTCCGCCTCTTCGTTGGAGGGTGTTGCAAAGGGGGCGTACGTGATTCATCCTGCTGAGAAGCCTCAACTCATTCTCGTTGCTAGTGGCTCGGAGGTTTCACTCGCCGTTGATGCCGCGAAGGTGCTTGCGGCGGAGCTACGCGTGGCTGTTGTGTCCATGCCATGCCAGGAGCTCTTCGATCAGCAGCCTCTTGACTACCAGAACACCGTGTTCCCCGTGGGCGTCCCTGTGCTATCCATTGAACCGTATGTTAATTACGGCTGGGAGAAGTACTCACATTACCATGTGGGCATGTCGGGTTTCGGTGCCTCTGCCCCAGCAGAAGCACTGTACAAGCGCTTCAACATTACCACAGAGAACGTCACCGCGATGGGACGCAAATTGGCCGCCAAGTATGCCAATGGCACTGCTCCGGAAAAACGTGTGCGCCTATGAAGCGGTGTATGTGAGGTAAAAAAAAAAAACGAAAAAAAAATCAAGCTGTAAAACAAAAGAACGGAAAAAAAAAGAATTTGTGGGGAAAGTCTAAGACGACGGTAGTCAACGTGGTAATATGTTTGTGAGAGCCAAAGGTAGAAATACAAGCAGTTAAAAAAAAAAAGAAAGGGAAGAGAGGAATTAGGATGAAGTTTACACAACCATTTTCAGCGAAGTGAAAAATTTAAAAAAAACAAAAGGAGAAAAAAGAGGGTTTGTCTTTATTTTTACTTTTTACTTAAAAAAAAAAACAACCTGTGGCCGGGCACGTATGTGCCCAGATTGAGGCTAAGTGGGTGAGCGGGGCACTTGTTCCCTTGCGCTGGTTTCCACGTGTGTTTCTTGATGGGTTTCCAATGCTGTGGTGTTGGGGCGCGTGCAATGAGGTGGCGGCACCGCACGACTGAACTCGCGGCGCGCCCTGCTACTAACGCCCTTCACATGGAGGGGGTATTGCGGTTGCGGGGCTGCAAAGACGACCACTTCTTGAGTTCACAACGAGAACGTCTATCATTGCATTTGCTTTACAGCTTTCAGTTGTGCTTATACATGTGGAACGAATCTACCCCTTTCTCGGTTGGCGTGTTGAGCACGCACCGAGCCAAACTATAATTTCACTTCCTTTTCTTTGTGAGAATAGGAGGGGCAAAGCTTCAACCAGGTGCGTATTCTGTAATGGTGTGCTGTGCAGGTTATTCCTGCCTTTTTATTTTTGCCTGATTTTCTGTCTTGCCCCTACGCACGCGCTTTCTATTGAGGAATTATTTTTCGTTCTTCTTTTAAGGGGTGGGGAGTGGAGAGAGCGAGAGATAAAGAGAGCTCTTTGAGGTCGGGTTTTGGGGGAGAAAGAGGCGTGGGGGGCTCCTAGGCCCTTCCCTTTGCACACTCTTGTGCCTTAACCCTCTGTATTTTGCACTTTGGTGGGTGAACCCGTGGTGTATTAATGTCAGGCGAGGAAGGAGCAATGGGCGGCTGCAACAACGGAGCCTGTGCCTGTTTTTGTGTTGGTGTCGCCGTGTTTTCCCTGTAGTTTTACCTTCTTGCTACCCCCGTGCGCCCCCCATCCCACAACGCTTTTTGTTTTTGTTTTCACTTCCTCACCGTCTGCAGTGTCAAGGACTTCCGCATGGCCAGCATTAAGTGTGGAAGCCGTCGCAAGGCCCGCCGCGCTCACTTTCAGGCGCCGAGCCATGTGCGCCGCATCCTCATGAGCGCCCCTCTGTCGAAGGAGCTTCGCGCCAAGTACAACGTGCGTGCCATGCCTGTCCACAAGGACGATGAGGTGCGTGTGAAGCGTGGCGCGTACAAGGGGCGTGAGGGCAAGATCACGGCGTGCTACCGCCTCCGTTGGGTGATTCACATCGACAAGGTCAACCGGGAGAAGGCGAACGGGACCACCGTTCCGGTCGGCGTGCATCCCTCCAACGTGGAGGTCACGAAGCTGAAGCTCAACCACAACCGCAAGGCCATCCTTGAGCGCAAGGACCGCAGCACCAAGAGCGACAAGGGCAAGGGCAAGGTGACCGCCGCCGAGAAGGCCATGCAGCAGATGGACTAGAGGTGAAGAGGCAAGAAGAGAAACAAACCAAGACAAATGGGGAGCAATGAGGCACATTGATTTTCTTATTTTACTGCGCTTTTATGATAACTATTATTATTATATTGATCTGTTAGCATATTTGCTTGCCTGCTTGGTGAAGGGCGATTTTCTGCGTTGCCTCCCATACATTTTTTTTTCTTTTCTCTTCCTTTTCCTCCTTCACGCTGGCGAAAAGATGCGACGGACTCCTTCCGCAGCGGGGCAACTCTTCCGTGTGCCTCTCACTCTCGGGCCCAGAGGCTGTGTGGTCGGGTGGTACGATGCCACGCTGCGCGTCGCTCCCATAGTGTAGCGGTTATCACCTCGGACTCTGAATCCGATAACCCTGGTTCGAATCCAGGTGGGAGCACGTTTTTTGTTCCCTTTCCCTTCCTCCCTCTTCCCTGAAAGGGATGTGTAGGTGGGGAATCGCGGACTCGTTGCGGCGATGTCTGTGTGTTCCGCGTTGTGGTTCTTGCTGTGGCCCAATTATTAGGGAGTTGGTGGGGATGGAGTCGGCGTATTCCCCTTTTTTTTGATACCGCATTGTATTTCATATTTGTGTGCATTTGTTCCCTCTCCCATCCTTTCTCTTTCTCTGAGTGGCTTTGATTTTCTCCTTGCTTGTCTTTTTTTTTTTTTCTTGATGCCCGGCCACGCCTCAGCGGTGTGTTCTGAACTCGTCGCGGGAACCAAAAAATGCTGCGTGCTAGCCGACTATGGAGAGCTCTCACGGCGGCCGACCTTGAAGCGAAGATCATAGCCAGTGAGATACTGAAACCGTTGCAGGACGTTAAGGTAGTTGATGCCAGTGGCGGATGTGGGAGTTTCTTCAACATCACGGTGGTATCACAGGCATTTTGCGGAAAACCATTGGTGCAGCAGCATCGCTTGGTGAATGAGGCGCTTAAGAGCGAGATTCCGCTTATCCACGGCTTCTCCCTTACTACTAAAGTGAAATAAAAATTATTTTTATTTGGATGGTATTATACAGCCTCCCGTCACGTGTTATACCTCCACCAGTTTTTGTTTTTGCGTGTGTCTGTGCGTGTTGTTGTATTTTTTTTTTCACGGGCGGACCACAGGCAATACAAATAAAAGAGAAAAGGGGAAAAAGAAGAAGAGAAAATAAAAACACCTTTACTGAATGAGGAGGAGTTGTTTGTTTCTTGCCGTGATCGCCTCGATTCACCTTGCCGCGCTGGAGTCTCACTCACCTGCTTTTCTATGTTTTGCGTTGTAGCCCAAAAACATAGCCCAAGTGGGCCACTTGAGAAGGATTCGCCCACGCCCAAAGGGTGGCACTGCCAAGATGAACCAAGAATGTGAAGAAATAGGCCCGTCCGCCGCCGCCACCGCCCCCACGATATTGCTAGATGCTAACAATGTCGGCGGTATTTCACCCGCGGAGGGAGCGGAGATGGAAAGTGAAGATGACTGGGGCCCTGCACTCTTCGAGGAGGAAGAGGAGTGCGTGTCCATCCTCACGCGGGTGCAGGAGGCCTTACAGCTGCAGAAGGATCGGGAACTGGCTCTTCCTACAATTGCCGAAGATCCAAACGGTGTGGCGGCAGCGTTGGACCGCCTTGATCGCATCATCACTCGCTACCAAGAGTCTCCGCATCTGTTGCATGGATACTTGGAGTTGCTGCTTGGGCCACTTGTGGCAATGCTGCAAGACCTTCTCCCCACCGCTACGGATGCCTGGAGCATGGAAGACTGCATTGAGGAGACTGATGGGGACGACGCGATAACGCAGGGAAAGCCGAATTACAAACTAGGTGCCAACTACGATGAGTATGATACAGATGCAGCAAAGTCAGCCATTCACCACGTTAGCCGCGCCATTTACGTTGTTGTAAAAACTGCTGGTGAAAAGTGTTGTACCTCTTATTTTTCCAATGATGTGAAACTCTGTGAGGATGTCTTTTACGCCCTGCGTTTGTGGCAGCAGAGTGCCAAACACCGTCGTGAGTGGGAAGTTCGCTATTGTCTGTTGCTGTGGCTTTCCAACCTTGTGCTTGTGCCTTTTTCACTCAGCATCATTGACTCCGAGGTCCGCGGTGGATCCCTTTCCAAAGCCGTGCTTCAGACGGCCGTGGCGTTTTTGAGTGACACCTCCAAGTGTCGCGAGGGGGCTGCGCTGCTTGTTGCACGCCTTCTCACAAGGCCGGATGGGGAGGCACACCGTGTGCGTTTCTTTATGTACGCCAAGGAGGCAATTACAGACCCCTTGAGTGGTAGTCTTCTGCTGCATGGTGTGCTCCTGGCCCTAGCAAAGACGCTGAAGTGTGGGCAGCGCCGCGAATTGGTGCCCTACGCACCGGGACTTATTCCAATTGTCGCTGGTGTGTTGGAGTCTCACAGCAGTGATGCGCTAGTATGCAAAGCCGCCGTGAAGGTGGAGCAGCGACTGGCACTCGCCTTATTGCGGGGTCGTTCGGCCCCCTGGAAGTATCAAAGATATGTGGCGCCGCTCGACAAGAATTTGGCAGTCGTCACGTCTTGCGTAGGCGTTATTGGCGTTGCTGCGCATGTAACTCACACAGACGAGGGCAACGGTATTGAAAGGAGCAGCAGTTATAACAACACTGGGGGACAAGCGGAGGTTGATACCACGTGCGATGACGAGGCTGTGGTTGAGAATGACGAGGGATTGGAAGAAGCCATTGGTCTGATGCTTGTGAACCTGAGCCACAAAGACACAGTTGTGCGCTGGAGTGCAGCGAAGGGCGTTGGCCGCATATGCGACAGGCTGCCGCGAGTCATGGCAGAAGATGTGATCGCCGCCGTGTTAGATGTTTTTAGCAATGAGCATTCCGACAGTAGCTGGCATGGTGGACTGCTTGCCGTGGCAGAGTTGTGTCGAAGAAGCATCTTGCACCCGCGGCACCTTGATACAGTGCTTTCCTGCATCACTCAAGGATTGGCGTTTGACCTGATTAAGGGAACTTACAGCGTCGGCTCGCATGTGCGCGATGCAGCGTGCTACGCTTGCTGGTCCATTGCCCGTGCATATGACGCCTCCGATATTGAGGCGCACGTGCATAAACTTGGAACGAGTCTCGTTGTCACCTCTCTGTTTGACAGAGAAGTTCACGTCCGACGAGCGGCGGCAGCGGCGTTCCAGGAGTGTGTTGGGCGGCTAGGAAATTTTCCGGATGGCATCCGCCTCGTTACGACGATGGATTTCTTCTCTCTTTCATCGCTGCAGAACGCTTACCTGCATGTTGCCCCATTAGTGGCAGAGAATGCCTCCTACCGGGAGCGCATGCTTGAGGAACTTGTGGCGAACAAACTACTGCATTGGGATCGACGTGTGCGTTGCTGTGCGGCACAGGCATTAGGTATTCTTTCCACGCTTGAAGTAAACAAAGTCGTTTGTGAGATTGCGTGGGAGCTGTTACGTCGCGTCACAGATGACTCGGTCGCTACACGTCACGGTGCCATTCTCGGTATTGCGGAGATGATCGAGGCTCTAGACGCCGCTGCGTGGCCGGAAGAGCTTATCCTCCAGTTTGCAACGCTGACGCCACGCATAGATGCCGCACGCTTGTTTCGCTCTCGTGGTGGGGAGTACGTCCGGCAAGCCTGCTGCCGTCTGCTTGCCGCCGTCGCCCATCGCCGCCTGAATCTGCCGGAGACCGTGGAGGTGCAGAAGATGGGTGGCGCTGTGGCGCGCGCCAAAACGTTGGGCAAGCTGCAGGAGTTTTTTGAAGACACCTGGAAGCAAATTCTTGAGTGGCTGCAGTTTGAGGCGGTTAACACGTATGAAGTGTTTGCGGCGACGTACTACACGGAGTTCATGGCCCCCTTCCACCACAAGGTGCTGGAGAAGATGTTGGACGGCAGCGGGGAGGGACGCAACCCGATGGAGCGCCGTGGGTATCTTCTCGCCATGGGCGCGTTGCCGTGGAGCGTTATCTCTGCAGCCCCCCTCACAACCACAACCACAACAGTAGAGGAGGAGCAGGCGTACTTTGTGCTGCTTCTCCGTGCCACCATGGAAAACACCAGGCCAGAGAAGCGGAAAGAGTTGCAGGATGCGGAGTCGCGCCGCAACGCGGTGCGTTCGCTGCGAAAAATACTGCTTCGTATTCCCTCATGGGCTTTGCAGTTAATCCCCGACTTGTACGAATGTGTTGTGCAGCATATTCTGCATGCCATGGACGACTATGCCGCAGACCGTCGCGGCGACGTTGGTTCCTTCGTACGACTGGAGGCGATTGATGCCGTGCCGGCTGTTGTAAAGTATGGAGTGCACTGTGGCTGCTGTAGCCCGCAGCTGACGCTCCGCGTAGTGCAGGCGCTCCTCAAGCAAGCCATGGAGAAGCTGGATCGGCTCCGTGGGCGGGCGGTAGACAGCCTGTTGCAGCTCATTCAGCTTCCCGCCGAACTACTAGGCAGGGAGGGGGAAGCTGGCATCGCTGTGCTTTACAATGCTCTTAGCGAAAACAAGATGGCTGAATGGTCTTCACCGCAGGTTGCCTTCATGACATTGGCGCGGCCCCTGCTACAAACTGAATTGTTTGCACCATGTGTGGTGGAGGGTCTTGTGGTCTCAGCTGGGTCGCTCTCGTTGCATATCATGCAACCAGCCGTTGATGCATTTTTGCACGGCTTTCAGGCCTCATTGGAAGATGGCGCGCGCCTCTCGTATGTGTTGATTGAGGTTGCAGCGAAGTATACGCACAACGAGCGCGTTGTGGTGCCATTGTGCGTCACAATTAGTCGTCTCATGGTCGCAGGGGTCTTTGACGAGTCCTGCCACGTAAACGTGGTGGAGATTCTTCGGCGTGAATTGAAACACTTTTCCACCAGCATTCACGTTCTTTTACCGCTCGTTGGCGTGCTTGGGGATTTCTGTCGCAGCAGCATCCCCGACGCACGTGTGGGGGCCTGGAAGCTCAGCCTTGTGATGATCGCGAGCCGCTACCCCAAAGTCCGGGCGAAGATGGCCACCGACATGTACACAGCCCTGCTTCTTTTTACATCCGCCGAGGTTTCTGCGGGCTGCACAAGCGCGATGCAGCACCTTGCAGCGACGCAGTGGGACGCCAGCGAGGCGGAGACGGTGCGCCGCTCGCGTGACGAGCTGTACGGCATGCTGAACATATCCCCGCCAACCAAAGGCGCCGGCGGTGACGAGATAGAGGCGACGAAGAAGCCGACGAGCCGACCGGTGGCGGGTTCGTACTTTCACCTTGTGCACGAGGCGGGGTACTGAAGGCAGCTTCACGGCGTGGAGAACCCTACAAGGCGAAAAGAAGAAAAAAAGAGAGAAACGTGTGTGTGTGTGTGAGAGAGAGAGAGAGAGAGAGAGAGAGCGCGGGAAAGGGGAGACACGGCAGGTGAATTGCAATTGTTATAGACTTTTGCAACTTAGCGGAGGTGTATGGAGAGGAGGGAGAGAAGGCACAAAGACAAAGTAACGCGCACACAGAAATATAAATATATACATTTTTTTTTAAAAAAAGAAAATGAACCAGGTGCTCACTGGCAGTGCCACCTCTTTGCACTCACCTGAAAGCATGCTTGTTTCCCTCTCCACCCCCGCAGGTGTTGTTTCTCCGCTGCCGCTGATTCGCTGCATCCCTTTCGCTTTTTTTCTCTAGAGGGCCTGCTGGGGTCACCGAACGTCACCACGCCCTGGTCGGATGACCAGCAATGAGAGTAACGTCGTCCACATCTTGCGGGAGAAGAAACATTACGACGCGTTTCACTGGGTGCCGCCGAGCAACGAGTTCATCGCCGCCAGTGATGTCACGGATTACTTCATGATTTACCTTCACACGATCGGCGGGTGGTGCCCGCGGCGCAACCAATACGACGAAGACGAGGGAAAAGAAGTGGAGGGCATAGAAATACCACTAGAAGCGGATGGTGGAAAGCCAGGCGTTGAGGTGGATCTTTGCGACGAAAGTCAGTGGCGGAGGTGGAGAAGCTGTGGCGGGGTGGAAACCATTTTTGTGACACTACAGATGCTGCACATGGACCAGCCAATCACCCCGCTACAGCAGTCCTCGCACACACGCAGTGATACCCGTACCTTTGACGAGTGGATCATATTTCCTATCGCCGTCTGCGACGTGCCGCTTGACGCGGTGGTGCAGTGTCGTGTTTACTCCCGTCAGGGTCTCGTCGGCTGCAAAAACTTCCATCTCTTTACGGCAGGCGGAAGGCTCAAGACGGGGCCGCGATGTTACAAACTACACGCTGACGGTGCAGCAAATCCGCATAAAACACCCACGCCGCGGTGGGAGCTGCTTGCGCGGGACCTTCGCGATGGCCTTATGCAGTCCGTCCCGTGGATGGACACACTCGTCGAGCAACGCCTCACGGCGATGCAGGAGGCACAGGTCGATGCGAGCCACACCGTTCTCGCCTCAGAGAACACCTCATTGACGCTTTCATTGCTGTTTCCGCTAGTGCGCAGTCGCCTACCGGTCTTCCACCTTTCCGTACCGCAGAACACGATGCCCACTATGCCGCCGTCTATTCCATTTGCGACGACGCCAACGCAGCCGTTTCTTGACATCTGCATGGAGGACGAAAACCTTTGTGAGGCGAAGGCGCACGCTCTCTATAAATCTCTGTTTTTGATCTCTGACGCGGATGCGGAGGCACAACCGGGTCCCGTAGAGCGACGTCAACTACAGGAGATTCTGCACAAGCCACTGATTCACTTGGAGGGTTTGAAGGTGGACGATGAAATGCTCCTTTGGCGATTTCGTTTTTTCCTGGCGCGTGATCCTGCATATTTTGTACCCTTCATGCGCTGCGTCAACTGGCACAACGAGGCAGAGCAGCAGGAGGCCCTCAAGGTTATGCAGCAATGGAAGCCGATTAGCTTTTCGCAGGCGTTAGTCTGCATTTCCTTTTACTTCCGTGAGGTGGAGCACATGCGGAGGCATGCCATTAGTTTACTGTCCCGGCAGTCTGATGGCTACCTCCTCCACTTCTTGCTGCAGCTTGTGCAGGGCGTGCGATACGACGTACAGGATGAACTCGAGCAATTTCTCGTGCGTCGTGCGTTGGGCTGCTGGGAGATGTGCTCCACACTGTTTTGGCATGTCCACGTGGAGACGCTGCTGGAGAAGTCTGCCACCACCGACAGCCACCACAGTCAGGGGCGACAACGATACGCCGACTTTCTTCAACACCTTTTGAATACGCTAGAAGAGGCAAAACCACACTTTCTGCAGCGACTTCGCCGGCAGATGAAATTTATGGGAGTGCTGCGTGGTTTGTACCGAACAATTGTGAAAGGCTCACAAGATCGCGTGCGGCGCATGGAGATTGCCACCACGCTTATCGACGCGAATAAGTGCGGCATAAGTGAACTTTTTTTGTCTTCAACAGAGTCACGGAGTGGCAACACTGTGACGCTTCCCACGCATCCCTGTTTTTCCGTGGAGCACATCAACTCCAGCGGGTTCTACCTGTTTAAGAGCGCCAAGATGCCAATGAAAGTCTCTTTCATCGTACACGTCGATGACGGCAACAACAACGATGTGGGCGGAGGCGCTTTCCATGATGCACCGAAGACCACGGGGTCCTCAGGCCCGAGTTTTATTCCACTTGCCATCCTTTCATCGGATGTGGGAATTATGTTCAAGAGCGGTGACGACGTACGGCAGGATCAACTGGTCGTGCAACTTGTGCAGCTCATTGACGGCATGCTGCGGCAGGATGGCCTTGATCTCTGTCTCAGCCCCTACCGCGTGCTGGCGACCGGGCTGGCGGAGGGGCTCGTGGAGCTCGTGCCGAACGCTGTCACGCTTCAAAGCGTGCAACGGGACATTGCGGGGTACATCCGTTCCCATAATGAGACTGCCAAGGATTATGAGGCCGCCATCTGTCGCTTTACGAAGAGCTTTGCGGGCTACTGCGTTCTCACCTTCATTCTTGGCATCGGCGACAGACACTTGGAGAACCTTCTTTTGACACACGACGGCAGGCTGCTGCACATTGACTTTGGGTACATTCTTGGCAATGACCCGAAGCCCTTTCCACCGCCCATGAAGATCAACAAGGAGATGGTGGAGACGCTTGGGGGCCCGCAGAGTGAACGCTACGCGGAGTTCAAGTCGTACTGCTGCAGTTCTTACAACATTATTCGGAAACACGCACCACTTATTTTAAGCATGTTTCTGCTTATGGTGGATGCTTCTATTCCGCAGATATCGGGTGACGGCAAGATGGATCCACGCGTGAATTTGCTGAAGGTGCAGGATAAACTGCGGCTGGACCTCTCAAACGCCCAGGCAGCACAGTACATTACAAACGTCATTGCGGACAGTGTGGGATCCATTTTCACAAACCTCTGGGACGTCATACACGTCGCGGCCCAAGCAACACGGCATTAGATTCAACGCACTGGGGCGGCAAACGAGACAAAAAGGGCTGGATGGTGGATTGCATGTTGATCATTTTTTTTCCCCTTTTGACTCGCCTTACTTTTTAGGAGGAAGAGAAGGAAACTTTTTTGCATGCCTGCCTGCTTCGGTTTCTGCTGTTGATATTGACGTTGTTGTTTGTTGCACTGGAGCGTCACTGCGTTGGCCCAGTGATTTCGCGCCTTTCCCTCCCACCTGGCTTCCCAGCACCGCCACCGCCCTGTTGCCTCCTCCCGTACCCCTCCCTTTCTCACTTCCCCCGCTCACACATTTCTCTCCCATGCCGATGTCTACTTCTTCTTCGCCCCCGCTGCCAGAAATAAATAGATAGATAGGGAAAACGAAATGAAGCGATGTGGCGCTGGTGGTGATGTGGACGTTGCTCACCCCGCCGTGTGTTTTCACCGCGAGGTGCTGACGTTTTTGAAGTGGACGGCCATTCGTCGCGACTTTATGGAAGCACTGCAGGGATCCCCGCATCTCCGCTTCATTGAGCCGCGAAAGTTGTGGCGCCACAGTCAAGAGGCGCTGGGGAAGTGGGTGCTTTCGCAGGTGGCCCGCGACACGCGCAGCGGCACGGAACCCGCCGCGTCCTTTTCGTTCTTCCCCACAAGGGCCGTGCTGTCAGGTGGCACGTACGACGAGCAGCTTATCCGCGATATTTCTCTCAAGTGTGAGGCCTCTAGTAGCCCGGAGGTCGTGGCGGAAATTAAAGCGCTACTGACGCATTTAAACCTCTCGCAGCGCTGTGAGGACGCGGCAGCGGAGGTGCAGCGGGAACTGAACTCCACGATTCCTTCAATGTACTGCACCCCATTGCTGCGCATCATTGACGCGACGGAGGAAGAGGGCCGCACAGCGTCGCAGCGTCGGGTACAGGGCTCCATTGCGGAGATTAGTGCCCAGTGGCCAAAACACGTGCGACGCGGTTGCCCACCCGTCTCTATTCCACATGCAGCTTACAAGAAGCTGGAAATGTGCTACAAATATTTTTCAGAGAGAACAGAGACGGAGCGATACCCCAGACTGGACCCTGGCAGTCGCTTCCTCCTTCGAGCGGCGACACTTGTACTACGCTACGAGGGTTGCCTGGCAACGGGATCACTGCAGTTGTGTGCTGACACTCGATTAAAACAGCACCTGCACGCTGCAGGCTATCATGTGATGGACCTGTGCGCCTCCCCGATTAATGCGTATATGGGTTCACCCAAGGCTGGCTGCTGCTTCATGCGTGGTGATGGTGGCTGTGATGTGGATGACAACAATGAAGCCTCATCTCTAGAGGATGAAAACACACCCAACCACTTTTGCAGTGCCTTTCCTGACACCGATTGCTACTTTGGAAGCCTTGGCAGTGCGCTACAGTTTGACGTTGAGGCTGCGTACAAATCGCCTGAAGTGAATCCGGAAAAGAAACCTCTGCTGTTGACACTTGATGTACCGTACGATGAGGACATCTGTGAACGGCTATTCTTAAGGCTTATTCGTGACATGCAGCGTGTTGAGAGTATGACAAAGATGCAGCAAGAGCAATTATCACCCCCTCCATACATTGCGGACTACGTGTTGGTGTTGCCGCTGTGGTGGGATGTGCCAATGCAGCGAAGGAAGCTGCTGTTTAGGACGGCAGGTGGTGGTCCGCCTTCCTCGTTCGAGGAAGAACAAAAGTCACTGGACGTCATTGTCAAGGAACGCAGTGCGATGCTGCATAGCGGTTTTACCGTTCCGTACGAGTGGCCACAACTTTTGGCGAAGGCAGCAGGGGAAAGTTGGGTTTGTTTTGATGGTGTTTTTCTGGGCGACAGTTACAAGTATTTCTGCACTTCAACGAACAGGTGGTTGCATGGGGTGACAGCCACGGAAGTCATTGGATTGTCGCAGCCCCGAGCAGACGCAGACGGCGGTAACTCGCTGGAAACGCAGATGACTTCCTTCTATGGGGGCTAGCAGGAACGGGAAGTTCGACTTTCTCTCTTCTAGTCTTGTGTGTCTTGGCGAGGCTGTGTGTGAAGAATCAGTAGAGGCGGTGAAGGGGCGAGCACGACGGAATAAGGAGCGGAGGTATGAGGAGTGTGGGGAATGACTGAGAAAAGACTGACCTATGGGTTGAAGTGTTCTTTGCAATCGATGCAAGTGTGTTTTATCTGTATGTGTATGCCTTCCATTTCCCTTTGTGAGAGTATCTTTGCGTGGCTTTCCTGCCTTGTCGCTTTGCGATTACTGTCGCCTCTTCTCTCACCCATCCTACTTTTTCAGGAGCTTGCCGAAGAAGAAGAAAAGGAAGGAGGGTCAACATGGTCCGCTACGGGGGCCCGCGGTTTGAGTTTTACTTCACCGAACAGTTCCTTAACAACGAGAAGGTTATCCTGAAGGAGGACGCGCAACGTGTTGCCTTCATTTTGCGCAGGCGGGAACAGCAGAAGGCGGCAGAGGCGGAGCGAGAGGCGCAAAAACGACGCCAGGAAGAGGAGCAAAAGCAGGTAGCGGCGGAGGCCGAAGTGTCCAGGCGCGAGACGGAAAAGACACTCGAGGCCAAAAAGCACCGCGTGTCCGAGAAACAGAGGCGTTTCAAGGAGCTTTCGACACCCGTTGTGCACGGAGGCCCGCTCTACGGCAGCGGAACGTATGGGCGGGTGATGCAGCCAACCTCAAAGGGTGTGCCGCTGCCACAGGGTCGTTCCGGTGCTGTGTACATGCCGGGGTGTGACCGCCATCGCGTCGTGCCGCGTCCACCCGCAGCTGACGCCCATCCACCGTGGATAGGCAGTGGCACCGCCTGGATGGTGGAGGAGGCCGAAGAGAAGGCGAAGCGGCGCTACCTCTTCGCCTCACTCAGGCGTGACCCGGCCACTGTGCATGATCGAAAGCAGTACATCGACGGCATCGAGCGCCATCATACACGTCACGCCTCAAGGAACGAAACGGATGCGCAGAAGGAAGGCGCTGCCGCAGACGTCATTCAAAAGCCTACTTTTAGGGAGGAGGTTCCGCACGAAACAACTCAAGCACCATCCGTTTTTTCTCATGCCTTGTCGAACGAGCCCATTAAGGCGCTCGGCACGCAACACATGGAGACAATTAGCATGAAGGAAGAGGTACAGAGTCATCTTGCAGCGTATGGCGGGCGGATGGCGCCGCCACGGCCTGTCGCAAGGCCTCCCACACCGTTTGACGACATGTCACTACCGGAACTGGCAGTGCGGCTGGTTCGCATGCAGCAAAGAATACAACGATAGTGAGGCATATATATATATATATGCCTGCGTGTGCGTCGACTGTGAAAAACGATGTAGATGGGCCCGTGCCAGTAAACCAAGGAACGTTGGACAAATGTCACCGCCCACAACCCATCCGCTCACGCATACGCGCACGTGCGAGCAAGCAAAAGAGAAATGTAAACATATTTTTGTACTTCATGTGTCCCTTTGGGGACGAAACAACACAGCGGAAGGTGAGTGGCGTATACGAGTGATGACTAAGATACCGTTCTTTTTGTTATGAAATGTTTTTTGTTCTTCTTTCCTCTTTGCCCTCTTCCCACCACCACACATACACACAATGAGGGAGTGAAGCAGTAGAACAACTAAGCGAGGCTTGAACACACAGCAACGATCACAAATACAAGGTAAAGAAGGGAAAAACAAAACAAGAAGAGGAGACCGAGTAAGAGATGACGCAGCTTCATTCGATTGCCAGCCTGGACTACGGAGACGGTCGTACTTGCATCTGTCGCATCTGTGAGTGTGGCAAGCACAAGTGCAAGGATGTGAAGCTTCCCTTCTTTGGTGAGACGACGTACCGTGACGAGTACGTTCCAAAGTCCACAGACCGGACTGGGCTGCGCAGGACACGGGGTGCAGTCTTCCCGACAAAAGCAGATCCAGGCCACTTTAAGACGACGAAACAGGAGGCATGGGAGCCGCTCGAAGGCAAAGTAGTGCCCCCTGCAGATTCCTTTAAGCCGCGCACCGCGCTGGGGGACCCGTTGCCCTTTACTGGCACCACGACACACCGCAACGACTTCCCGGGGCACATGCCAGAACACGAGCGGGTGCGCTACAGACAGGATCCCCTGCCCAAGTTGAAGGGTGTATATGAGACGACCAATGGTGCAATGCAGGAACCCATCAAGAGGTGTTTGGATGACGGAGCCATGCCGAAGCCACCCAAATCCTTCCGCGGCGATGAGACACTGGGTCAACCACTGCCGTTTGACGCCATTGCAACGTACACCGCGGATTTTCCACCGAAGCAGCAGTTCTTTGCGCCGAGAGGCCGAGAGGCCGCGGAACGGGCGGCGCTGCCCGACAACCGCGACTTTGAGACGACACACTCGACTTCCTACAAGTTGCCACCACGCTCAATGCGGCACGTTTGCCCGTCCTCGCTTGTGCCACCGCGTCCGCCTTCCGTGGACGGTCATATCAAACTCTCCGTGTACAATATTCCATCGGGCGACATTGTGGAGTAGAACCAGGGCGGCTCTGAGAGGGGCCAATTGATGCTGCGGGAATGATGGAAGAAGTTAGACTTTAAGGGCGTATGTGTTTGCCGTTTCATATACATATGTATTTATGTATATACGTATGTATTTGTATGTGTATATGTATTAGTATATTGATATATTAATAAAAACAAAAAAAACAGTGTGACTGTAGATTACTGTCAATTGAGGAAGTGCGACGTGTAGAACCTTATGCATGACTGCCTCCACCCACCTCCACCTGTCTGAGGCGTCCATTGGGTGAGTTCTTTTTATGTTGAAAAAGGATGATGGTGCGTCTGTTTCCGCTCTTTAAATCCCGTTGTTTTTTCCGGTGGCTTTTGTTTTTCCTATTTCTGTTTACTTGCGTGTATTTTGCATTTGCCCGCTGTTACTCCGTTTTTTTGTTGTTGTTGTTGCTGTGTTTTTTTTTTTTGGCAGGAAGGCTGAAACGCCTCGGCCTCCCTTGCTGTGGGAGCAAATGAGCAGGCTGCGTGGGTGGGGAACGCCAGGAGAAAGGCACGGGGATGCAGAGGCTTCCGTGTACGTGGAAGTGGGAAAGAGGGAGGCTGCCGGTGAAGAGTAGAAGCAGACGCTGACGGCCGGATCTCCCAGCCTGCGCCTCTTTATGTATGCGTGTGTGTGTGTCTTTGTAAATGGATACGCCCTTCTTCCTGCATTCCGTGAAGACGACACCGCCTCTCCTCCTCTCCTTCCACCTGTTCTCACAGGTTGTATGTATATTAGCGCCAGCGTAAGGGAATAAAGATGTCAGCAGAGAAACCGTGACAAAATCAGAAAGGAAAAGAAAAAAAAGGAAGAGGAGGAAATCACACTGGGAGTGAAAACAAAAAAGAAGAGAAAAAAAACACTTTGAGCAGAGGGTCTCCTCTTTTTTTTTCTTTGGCGTCGTTTTTGTTGTTGGCTTTTATTTATTTCTTGGGAACTGCTATGCCGCTTCCCAGCTATTCCTGTGTGTCGTGCTGCGCCTGCTCCGGCAGCAACGCCGCCACAACCCACCAACACTGATACTACTACTGCTGTTGACTGAGGATGCACAGTTGTTGCTGCTGCTGCTGTCCACACTTGGCGCTTTGCCGTGTCTGTTGCTGTTGCTCTTGATATCTCACTCTGCAAGGTAGAGAAGGTGAAGGCGAGGAAGCTGAGTGAACGTCTGCGGGTGCCGGTGTCTGCAGGAGGGGGAAGGAGGCGAAGTGCATTTGAGGCAAGCTAGTGTCCAACGACCTCAGCAGCTCAGCTAAAGGGAAAACATAGAAAAAAAAAGAGAGAGGGGGGTGGGGGGGGTGGAGAGAGAAGAAAAAAAAAGTAAACCAACAACAACAACAACAACAGTTAAAGAAGTCAAACGTCAACGATGCGTTCTAATGGCGCGGGGCACTTGGGGAATGACACGTTTATGGCTGTTACGCGCGACGACACTGACAACATGTTTCTTGTGACAAGCAAACTGGTGGAGGAGCGCGTCACATTGTACCCGTTGGCACGTAGAGTGAGCTTTACCCCACGCAGTGACACTGCTCCTGCCATGGATGTTGACAAAGCCTCATCTGCGCCTTCGTGCATACATGCAGCAGAGAGTGGCGAAGCGACACCGGATGCCGCGTTGGACGGCCCCCACCACGATGTACGGCACAGCTTTCACCCCTCAGTTGACGGAAAGCTGGTGGCTGTCATAAGCACAGGCCGATGGAAGCACTACATGATCGACGTGTTGAGCGCCCGTGTCTGTGAGTTCCGCACATTGGCTCCTGTGATGGGGGTGGCGTGGCATCCGATCAGCACCCAGCGTCTCATGCTTCTTCTGGCGACAGGGACGCTCCTTCTCCTTCGCGCCGACACCGCCGTCTTGGGGGTTGCCTTTGAAGAGCGGCAAGAGGTGCCGCTCAGGGAGATTATTGCGGAGTATAAGGATTACGTTCTCAACGGTGACGACGTCGTGGCAATGGACCAGCTGGAGAATCTGCGCGGCCGCAAGCGTGAGACGTCAGCGTCAAAATTGAGTTACAAGTCACTCGAGCAGGAGGCTTTGGCGAGAATTAAACAAGCTGAGAAATCGCCGCCAGCAGCAGCTCTAACAGTGTCGCTTTCGTCACCGTCATTTAAATCAACACGATCCGCCGCCCACGCAAGCGACATATCGTTGGAGGAGAGCAAGGGGGATGAGACAACTGAGGAAGAAAGAGAGGAGGACGAAGAGGAAGAGGGAACAGGAGTAAGGCGGGTCGGCACAGATCATAAAACGGAGTTTGCGGTACCAGCAGAGTTGGACTCTACGAGGAACGAAATGAATAGTTCAAGTTTGCCGATTGGGATGTGCATCATTCCTGCGTCCCTGAGTCTCCCTGTGATGCTGCTGGTGCTCAATCGTGGTGGGGACATCTTTTCCATAAAAATTGATCAAAATGGTCTTCCAACGACCCTGGTAAAAGAATACGACGGTTGTGTCGAGACGCTTGTAGATGGAAAGCTTAGGCAACAAGGTGATGCTGGTCTTGCTCCGTGTGTGCACTACTTGCTGTGTGGCGGACCCTCGGGTGCTGGATACGTGGAGGAGCCTCTCGCCATTGGCTCAACGCTGCTGGACGAAGATGTGGGTCGTCACGTTGTGTTTGTAATGTACAGCAGCGGGGTGCTCCGCGGGGGATGGTTTACTGAGCCAGATCTGCTCTGCCGCGACCTCATGCGGCGACAGATGGACTTTGCAATACACCTCGACGCGGCATTTTTGCCTGCCCCACCGCTGCCGTGTGCTCTCACTATGGTGTACCTCGTCGGCCTATACACATGCGGAAACGCAACTCTTATCCGCTACAATGACGCTGCATACTTGTGCGTGTGGCCAACCTGGTCGCGCAAGGCCGGTGGCTGGATATTCCGCAACGTGGGTGAAGACGGGTGCCAGCGGGTGCCTCTTGTCAGTCAAGGTCCTGTCGTACCAGAGCCTGTTGCCCTTCGCCTCCCGTATGACGTTTACGGGGCAAGTATTGCGGTAGGTGTCAATGACATTCTTATTTTCCCGGAGGTTATTGGCGCCGTCTCTCTGGAGGAGCAGAGTTGCCCACGTTCGAAGGTGGTTACTGTGAAGATAGCCAACCTGGTGTTGGCGGCACTTTACGCCTCCAACAAAAAGTATAGCCTGACGTTTGACAACGACATAAGCGACGCCAGTGAGGGCGAGAATGCACCGGCAGAGGAAACTAGGCCTAGATGCCTGGAGCGACTCCTGGAACTCACAGCAGAAAGCTATAAGCGGTGGCTGTGCAGCTATCCGCGGGAGGACAAGGACAACGCCACTATGGATTTGGCTAAAGGCGTGCAGGCCGCTCATGAGGAGTTGATAGCTCGTCAGAATACAATACATAAGCGGGAGGGAGACCTCTCCGCGCGTGTGCAGCGCCTATTGCAGAGGCAGCAAGAGTTGTCACAGAGCGTCGTCCACTCGCAGAGCATCATTCGGGATGCAGTGGTGCATCGAGGCGGGGTGGACGTCTTCTACGCAGCCAACGAGGCACTGGGGAAGGCACACCGACTCCTAAATGAGCTAGAGGCGCTTGCGGCTAAGCAAAGCGACGCCAAACGGAGAGAGGAAGCGTCTCCATTGGCATAAGTTGGGGTATCGAAAATGACAAGGGAGCGAGGGGGTGTTGACGACCGCCTGAGGAACACACGCACGCGCCGACGGTTTTATTCTCACTCTCTTTCATTCAGCCTGTTCACGCGCCTGCTGCCAGTCTGCGTGTAGGTGTATTTTTTCATGTGACTTTGTTGCTCCCTTATTTCTTTCCGGTGTCTTTCACTTATGCCTACCGATTGGGGACCAATAAAACTGAGAAAAGAGCGAGGAGAGGGGTGTGTGTGTGAGACAGAGAGAAGGTGGGCGAACACAAAAGTAAAGGAGGGAGGTGGGCAGCGGCAGAGCAAAGCCCACGTGTGTGTTCAACGCCGCGTAGAAACATCGGGGCATACGGCAGGGAACCACTGCTCTCAAGGGAGACCGGCAAAGCAAGAGAGGAGCAAAAAACAAGAAGGAGAGATGGCGGAAGCGGCGCCGACGCCCGGCAACACACCGAACGGAGAACTTCAGCCTGTCTTGGCAGGTGGGATGTGGGGATCGGAGGAACGTCAGCAGGAGGCGCCCGCATCCCGCCTAGTTGAAGAAAATATGAGGTTAAAGACACGGCACTCGCAACTTCAGGATCAGTTGGAGGAACTGAAGCGTCAGTTGCACGCAGAGAGGAGTACTCGGCAGGGTCTAGATGCCGAGGTGAACGAGGTGAAGGAGCGTCTGCGGCGCACAAAGGATGTTGTGGATCAACAGAAGAAGGATCATAGCGAGGTCTCCTTGCGACTGTGCACTGTAACGGCGGAACGGGACGAACTGGAGGCAAAGGTAGGCGAGGTGTGGAGCAGCATGGCTGCCGTGGAGGAGACCGTGCGCTTCAAGGAAATAGAGAACAAGGCGCTACGGGAGGCGCTTGATAACGAACAAAAGGAGCGGGCAGCTCAGGAGGTGCTGATGAGCGCCATGGTTGCCCAAATAGCCGCGCTTGAGCAGCAAGTGGCGGCTGGCGAGGGCGCTGAAGTGCGGCATCGGCGGCTCAGCGAGGATGCACTTCGCGGCGTGAAGGAGGAGGTGCAGCGTATCTCACTCCGTCTAGAGAGTCTTGCGGATCTCTACTCCGCTTCAGCACTAGAGCGAGACGTTGACCAACGACTGCTGTGGCTTTCTGCGGGTGACATTGACTATGATGGCGTTGCTAATTATTCTGCTGGAGAGGATTACGAGGTCGGCACGACCGGTGATGGACTTAACACGTCGGACTCCGACAAGCGGTCACGAGGTGAATCGCGCGTAAAACGGACCACGCAGCTGATGGGTCCTATTTACCCGGCGCTGCGGCATCTCCACCAGCAGCTGCAATGCCAACACGAGGAGAGGCGGGCCATGCAACACGAGCGTCGTGTTCTCGAGTCCCACATTGCGGCGCTGAAGGAGGAACTACATCACCTGGGGAACGATGGGGATGATGTACGTGAGCGGTTGCTCCGGAGTGAGGCTCAAAGGGCACAGCTGGCAGAGGCGTTGGAGAATACGCGACAAGTTCAGGCATACGAGGTGGCGCAACTGGCGGAGACACGCTGCAAACTCGCCTCCCATCTTCGATGCGTCGGTGATTGGTGCGTAATCGAGCAACATATCACTGACTTAGTCAAAGAGGCAAAACAGTTGCGTTCTGACGTCGAAGAGGGTCATCGGACGCACAGGGCGTACGTGGCACAAAAAGAAAGTGAAATGGATGCCATGATGGATCTGCATCAGCGTGAGATGAATGAACAGCAGCAGAAGATTGAACAGTTCCGTCACGAATGCGAACGGTTAAAGCGAGCGGCTGAATCAGCTGCTATTGATGTTACTGCTGCAGGTGGCGTTTCAACGGAGCTGCAGCGTGATCATGAGGTCTTCAAGGTGAAATATCAAGATATGATGCGGTACATGGAGGAGGAGCTGGAACCCCTGGTGGCTGAGCAGGCAAAGGCTTTGCAGGAAGAGAGGCGACGTGTAGATGAACTGAGACGCGCTAATGACGCGCTGGGACTCGAGATGAAAATACGGGCGGGCCCAGCTGCGGACTCTGGAGGGAGACTGACTCTGTTTGAGGCACTTGTCCTCACTCTCCGTGTTCTCTCCGGTGCCATGGCGGACATGCGGGAGATGTCGCAGCAACGCAAGGCCCTGACGCGCTACGTTCTTGCCTATGAACAGATGTTTGGTGCGTTGAATGCCTGTGGCGACTTCATAGTTCGGCGTCCGGTGTTGCGTTTTCGGAGAATTGTAGTGGCGGTGCTGGCTGCCCAACGGCTAACGGCTCTGCGGAAGGCGGTATGGCGGTGTGGTGGTGGCGGCGTCATCCCGTCGATGGAACGAGGCACTGCACGCATTCGTTTGCCGCCAGAAACGTGTTGTTTGGTACGCGGAGGGCTTATTCGTCTACCGCCAGTTAGAGGTGACGACGCTGCAGCGGACTTTCTGAGCGAGGAGGCAGGAACAAAAGGGGGTGACGGGAGTGACGTTGCCTTTGTGGCTGAGCGGGAGCTGGTGCTCCCCATCATGACCCACACATCCAGTAATAACACCTCTTTGGGTGAGGTATACGTGCAGGGGTGTGCGCTGCGCAATTTCATGAGCGCATTGCTTGCCTTTGTGACGGTCCCGTCGGCGATGTGGCCGCTGCGTGACGTACGAGAGCCTTTGTGGCGGCGACTGGCGCATGGGATGTGCTCCCTGCAACGGGCGTCAATGCAGGTCGCGCGACTGGGCACGCTTGGCAAGCCACACTCGTTGTTGCACCTACCGCCGCGAGCACCAGCCCGGTCGCAAGTTGCGTTACCGTGGGGAGAGTCACTGCCACGTCCGCCGCAGTCTTATGGTGTGACTGTCACGCAGCGGTTGCCACTGTACGACCACGAAAGCGCAGGCGCCACCACAAAGCGTACAGCGCGCGGACAGACCGCCTCATTTGGGCATGCGCAGGGGATGGATGTGAAACGCGCCTCAACCGCCTATCCGACCCCGCAGCCAACAGTTCACGCAGAGGACACGCTGAGTCTGGAGGAGGCCCTCCGTCAGTCCTTATTGCGCGACGAACAGTTCAGCAGTGACCCGCAGGAAATTCAGGCAGGGAGTGGGTTTGCCTCTGAGGTGCTGAACGTCATTCGTGCACTCGATCAGCGTGTGGTGGGGGCCTTGGAGCGACACATGCCGTCAGCAGGGCGTCGCCCGCATCCGTGAGAAAATTTTGGCGGGAAGAGGTGGGAGGCGCTGGCATTGCGTCATATATTCTTTGATATTTACTGTCATATTTGTTGTTGTTGTTGTTGTCGTTGTTGTTGTTGTTCAGTTCATCATTTTTTTTTTTGTTTGCTGGAGGCGCTCTTTTGTACAGTGTGAGGAAAGACAGGAAAACATTCCGTGTTTGTTTGGTTTTGGCGGCCGCCATGACGTTGGGGGCCTTGTTTGCGGTTTTTCTGTGTGACTGAGTTCTGTGAGTGTGTTGTTCTCTCCCTTTTTGTCTCTTTTCCACCCTGTTTTTTTGCTGTGCCACTGGCATGGCGTCGGTGTTTGTCTTTGCGTTAGGTTTCCTCCACAAATGCGGGATGCGTGGGTTATCGGCTCTCTACTGTCTGGCATGCGAGCGGGAGGGCTGTCTTTCGAACTCGGACTTTGTGAGGATGTGCAGAGCCCTTGACACGTCGGAGGACTGTCCGACACATTTGGATTTTCACGAGACTTATTTGGGCGACGCAGGGGCGGCAGCGGTCCTTCGCACGGTGGCGATTATGCGATGGGTTCGAAGCGTCGATCTACGCGATAGTGGGGCAGGGACGAAGGCTGTGGCGGCGTTGGTGGCGGTTGCCGATGAGCACCCGAGCCTGCGTTGGGTGGACCTGCGTGGCGGAAGCAACGACGTGTTCGCGATGTCAGGGCGGCGGTTGCTGGCAGTGTTGGGCCGTTGTCCGATGTTGGTAGTTCACGCCAACTACGACGATCTTCCTGCGACGATGGCGCACAGGCTGCGGGCGGCCAACGGCCGTAATCAGCAGCGGCAGCAGGAGGAGGCAGCCGCAATTGAAGCAGAAAAAATGGCCTACTTGCCGGTGCTAGACTCACTTCAAGGTGAGGGTCGCGAGGAGGATCTCTTCTACCTACCCACGCATGACCCCGTTGGATGCCCGCTCTACAGCGAAGACGCCAATCTACTGCACCTAGTGGAGAGCCTTAACACATACATGGAGGACTACTTGGAGAGCTACCAGTACGTTGGTCGGGTGGCAGCGCAGTTGGCAGTCGACCTGGGCGCGGCGATTCTTCCATGCATTCGTGCAACCGCTGTTGCCGTCCCACCAACCGCGGCGACAGGTACGGGGCGTGTGTATCCCAGCGATGTCAAGGCAATGGTGCGGGCGGTGGATGCCCTTCTTGGTGGATTGCGTGTGAACCCGTTTCTTCTTGAGGAATTGATTGCTACTAGTGGACCCATTTTGGAGATGTATGTGACAAAACTGAGGGAAACACGCGGGGAGTATGAGTCTCTGGTGGCAGCTCGCCTGGGATTGTTTCCCTCCCACCGAGAACGAAGTCTGGTAGTTGAGATGCGGCCCTTGTACAACCGTATAGTTGCGGCACTTGTTCAGCAGTCCATGACGAAGCTGCCGTCGATGTGTCAGGTGGAGGAGCACTTGCGTCGCGTGCGCATCGAGGTGTTAAACCGACTTCTGGAGGGAAGAGAACGCGTGCTTCCGGTTCTACTCACGCAGGTGCAGTACTTCGCGTACAACCGTCCCACACAGGCAAGCAAGTGGGCGGAGGCCTATGTAAGGAAAAAAGAGGCCTTGCCGCAGGAGCTGGGGAAGGTGGAGATAGACCGCGAAACAGAAGAGGCGCACGACGATGACGTTGCTGCTGCATCACCCGACGCCCTACAGAAGCGCGGCAACATGTGCATAGAGGCTATGCGTGAGCTCCGTGAAGTGCTGCAGGACCCCTACACTGCCGCTCGCTACTCTGTCACAAGGCCGCTGTTTGAAGTGCTTCCAATGGAAATACGAGTGTTTCTCTGCGACTTGGTGTTGAGGCGTGCGGCATTGCTTTACACTCCGACCATATTTTTAATGGAGAAGAAGGCGCAGCCACCGCGACGGAAGTTAGAAGATTGGCTGCCGACGACAAATACAGACGATCCGTTTGATATTGTCCGCATCTTTGAACGGGTTCGCTGCCGAAGAGAACTCTCAGAGGTGCTCTGTGCCTTTGAGGAGTGGTACCGACTGCGTCAGGTGGAGTGCTACGATGTAACGCACGTCAGTCGACAAGAACTGCTGTCAAGAGTGCAGCGTATGTAAAGTAAACACCACGGCACCAAAGTATAAAGAAAATAGGGAGAAAGAAAAATCAAGGAGACAAGTAGACACACACACACACACACAAATACATGTAGATGCTCATTTTTATTTGTACTTTTAGTTCCCTTCGTCGTTGATCTCCACCCACTCCTGTGATCTTTGATTGCACCCTCCTTCCCCTCTTTTTTTCCTTCACATTGAACGCAGCTACAGTGACACATGCATGTGAAGTTAGTTACCCAACGAGAGCTTCTCGGTGTGCCGCTTCGCGGCATCGCACTGACTCACCCATCAAACCCCGTCGTCTTTCTTGACATTGCGTGTCCGAGGTCGGCTGCTGGCGGTGAGGAGAATGGGATGCCGAAACGCATTTTGCTTGAGCTTTTTGCAGACCTGGCTCCAACGCTGGCGTCAAACATGTACGGCCTGTGTGTTGGAAGCTCGACGCGTATCGTGGACCAGAAACTGCAGCCGGCGGGCTACAAGGGAACGGTGCTGCATGATACTCTCGTCGGGCAGTACCTCATTGGCGGGGATGTGATGGGCGGTGGTGGGAGTGGCTTTTTCTCCGCACTCGGTGAGCGTCAAGGCCCGCTGCCGGTTCCTCCGAATGAGCTGGAGGCTCTTACAGCAACCGCGCCGTCTCGCTGCAAGACCTCTCAGGGCCTTTACATGCTGTACTGGAACCACACCCCTGGCACCGCCTCGGCGATGGCATTAAAAGTGGCGTCTTCGTTTCGCCTCGACACGGTTGAGCGCGGGGCGGATGCCACGATGCCAAATGATGCTATTCTCATTGGACGAATGGTGCACCGTGACGCCGAGGCCCACGCAGCGGCGAAGGGCCAGCTGTTGGAAATGACAAAGGCAGTGTTTCACGCCAAGCGGGAGATGGTGCCGAGACTGCTGCCCACAATTGTGTTGTGCGGTGAGATGTGAACATAAATCTGCCTCTTTTTTTTTTTGATTGCGTCTTCTCTCTTTCTCTCTATTTGTGTGTGGGAGGGGGTTTCTCGGTGGGTGTGTTGGGCTGCTGTGGAGCCGAGAGGGAGGGTTATGCGTGTATTAAGCAAAAGATAAAAGCTCGAAGCTAAAAACGTTTTCATAGACTCTTTCGTTGGATTTTCTCTGCGTGTGTGTGTGTTTTTTTCTTTTTGATTACGTTTGTGTCTGTGTTGGCTGAGGGTCAACCCTTTTTTTGATCTTCTTCTTTTTATTCGTGCTTGTCCCCCTCAATCTCCAGGTGTGGCGTGGTGTCAAGGGAGGAGGAGCGCGGTTGGCAGCACATGTCCGACGCATCGAACGAGAAGCATGTGGTTATCGCACTTTGTGGTTCGGCGAAGAAGAAGCGGCAGTCTTTCGACAAGCTGCAGCGGTATTTGGAGGATGTAGGAGCAGCACGCAGCGGCAGCGAAGGCTGCGGCGACGTACGCTTTACGTTTTCGTTTCTAGAAATGCACTACGACGAGGTGGAAAATAAATTCTCGACAGTGACCAGGGAGGACGCGGATGTGGTGCTACACAAAATAAGTACGCTGCCTCCCAGTGCCGTGGGCGCCCTGCGTCGGTGGTGTGTCGTGGCCTCGAAGGAGCGTCGCCGCAGACACCTCCCGCCCGTTATCCTCGTTGACCCTGTGGAGAAGACGCGGCTCGTTTTGCGGCGCTCGCTGATTTACAAGCTGCTGGGCAGTCATTTGAAGCGGCCCTTCTGCCAAATTCCCTGCTCGTGGTTGTGGACACGCGACGAGGTATCGTTGGTGCCTCTTGGCTTTGTCTCGCTTGGGTTGAACGACGAGGAGGCCGCGGGATCCCCGGGCACGACCCAACATCCCCCCGAGAGGTGGTGGATGGCGAAGCCGGACCTTAGCACTGGCCCACCCTTCACACATCACATGGTCATATGGAAGGGCGTCCAGCCGAAGTCAGACCTGCCGGAAGAGGTGCGGTGTCTGCTTCCACCTAGCGGCAATGCCTTTGTAGTGCAGGAGTTTTTGTCGTACGCTCTTCCCGTTGTTATCAAAGTGTACTGCATTGGCAGTCGCGTGTTTGTGAAGGCGGTCTCGACCACACCGCTGCTGCGACGTGTCTTGTCTGGCATGGGGGCTCCCGTGTTTGTAGATTCACAAAGTAAATTTTTAAATGAAACCGGCTGGGAGGAGGAGGAGGCGTGCTGGAGAAGCTACCTTGCAGAGGGAGGACGCGCCCACACACAGTGCAGTCAAATCGCCAAAGTTTTGTTTCAGGGGCTGGGGTTGACGTTGTTCGGGTTTGACCTGCTGTTGACACCTGAACACGGGCTGCAGCAGGGTAGCACTTTACCGGCGGCACTCTCTATATCACAGAAAACGTCGCCACACACTATATTGCTTGACACATCACTCTTTGATGTAGTCACGGGTGCTCCTTCAGCGCTGCTTTGCTCCGCCTCCCCAGTGCTTATTGATGTGAACTACTTTCCAGGCTTCGCGGGAGTAGAAGATGCTGCTGAGCATATGTTGGATGCCATCAAGGCAAAGGTTCTGGAAGCTTCAGTGACGCACGTAAGGCCCGTCTTGGAAAAATTGGCCCTCGACTGTCACCGATGCTGCTAAAAAGGAGATGGAAACATGCATTTATTTACTTATATTTTTGGTTGTTTTGTAATCTTATGCTGAAGTGAGTCAGTGTGCCCACGCGTTCGATGCTGTGTTCTTGTTGCTGTCTCCTTCCTTGTATCACTCTTCGCTTTACACGTGGAAGACGTGGGCGACCGATCTTGCTACTTTTTGCGTCAGGAGCTGTTTGGTTTGTTGTTAAGGTGTGCTGCACGTGTTCTTCTCCCCCTTTTCACTTCCTCCCGCTGTTGCTGGTGGGTCATTTTCCCTCAGCGCGTAGGCATCGTGCTGTGTCGTGGTGGTGTTGAAGGCAATTTTTATTTTTATTCTTTGAATAAAAAAATCGCTTTTGCAGCGAGACAAAAGAAGGCAGAATCGCAGGCCCGCCCAGCGTACACTTCGGCATAGCGAGATAGAGAGATAACCACGACCGCAGAAGAAAAGTAATAGAAAAAATATGACAGCCGCGCCGCAGAGATGCAGAGAGGGTAATTCTTGGCGACACGCCGCATCTGGAAGCGCCTTTCCACCGGCGCTTCCACCCAGGCATCCAGCCACCGCAGTCGTTGGCAACGCCGACGAACACGCGGCCCCGCCCTCCCTCATACGAGACAGTAATGAGGTTGAGATTTTACAGCACCCACTTATCACAGCGGCCGATTACTGCGACAGAAAGCAACTTCTTTCACATATATCGTTTCTTAGTGGTCAGTTGCGGCGGGCAGAGCTGCTGTTGCAGAATGCATCCTGCGCGATGGTGTCCGATGCGGAGTTGGCCCGCTTCGATCCATTTCTTGCTCAGGAACACATTGACCGTCTTGAGAGCTCCCTAGCACAGGTCGCCCTCTTGCGTGAGGTGGAACTGGAACGGAGTCGTGCACTGGAGGAGGAATTGCATGGGCTGCGCCTGGAGGGTAGTCGTCTGGTGGAGCGTGTCGAAAGCCTAGACAGTCAGGCAACGACGCTGGAGACAGAAAACAAACGGCTGAGCAATGCTTTGTCCTCCGCCCAGCTTGAGGTGGAGCGGCTGCGGGTGGAGGAGACAACTCTGCATCACCGGCTGTCGTTGATTGAACAGTTGCAGGAAGATGGCCATCGCTACCAGGGCGTAAATGTCATTGTTACCCCACCGCGGCAGGCTGAGGCACGGCAAGAGTGCATCCTGGCGATAAAGGAGCTGCAGATGCAGGAAACGCTGCACAGGTTTTCACTGCTGGTGGATATGTTAATGGAACCCATTTGCATCGCCTTCGATGCGGGAGTCGTGTGGATCACGGAAACGCAATTGCATCGTGCCAGCGTGCAACTACACAACGCAGTGGTGCCTGGTTTCCCAAACGACAGCGGTGGAATGCCGACAAGTATGGGGGAGAATAGCCCGCTTGTGGATGTGGGGGATGACACACTTCCACCTGCCGCCGTGGGCGTGGAGCCTTCATGTGAACGGCAATTGCGCCATGAGTTGGAGGTGGTAAAGGAGCGATGCCGTGTGGCAGAGCAGCAGCGGGAGCGGATGAAAGGTTTACTTCATGAAGAGCAACAGCGGACGGAGGGGATGGCTAGAGAGCACTGCCAGCAACTCCAACATGTCCATGAGCAGGTGGTACATGAGCGACAACACATTATGGAGAGTCTCATGGTGGAGGTGGAGGAACAGATGCGGAATGCTTTCCGTGACGGTCGTCTCTATGAGAAACGAGTTAGAGACGAAAAATTTCAGAAGCGGAAAGCTTCCGCAAACCACACAGCTGGTGTTGCTGGCTTGGCGCAACGGCGCCGAGTGGGAAACCTGCCGCGTGATTCATCCATGGCCTTGGAGGAGCAGACCGCTACTGGTTCTTGTAGCAGCAACAGCAGCAGGGGTGGTGATGGGGCCGTGTTGTCCAGGGTGGGGGGAGAAACAGTGGAAGCTGGTTTATTCTCTTTCCACAGTCAACAAAAATAGAGCGATATAAACTACAACCACGTTTTTATTTTTACTTTTGTTCTTGCTGAAGCGAGGGTAATACAACGAAGTTTTATATCCCGTTTTTAAAGACTGTTTACCGCGTTGTTGAATGATGGAGACGCAAAGTGCCGTTGCTGCAGTGGAATGTTCCTCCATTTTCCTTTGTTATATCCTCTTTAATTATTAATTATTGTTTGCTTCTGTGGCTGGTAGCGGCCGTTTGCGGCGGATCACGGCTGAGCGGCCTTTTATGGCGGCCCCGTTAACGGCGATGTTGCTGCTCGCAGGGGCATACTACGTGACGCGACTGGCGCCTCGGGTGACGCAGCGGGTCGCGATGGCACAGGGCGGAATGGGTGCTACACAGGCCTTCCATGCGCACCAGTCTTACCGCCGTCACGAGTCGGGCTTTGCGGCCATTATGTCGGAGCGGGAAGCCTTGCTGCTGCTTGGATTTCCGGAGGATGTCGCTGATGGAACATGTGTCCGCCCCTCAGACAAGCAGGTCAAGGAACGCTACTACACTCTGATGAAGCAGTTGCACAGTGATGTGAGTGGCAGTCCATACATCGCCACGAAGCTTAATGAGGCCAGGGATGTACTATCGGGGCGATGAAGTGAGACTGCTGCGGAACCGCACGTATCCACACAGACGAACGCAGGGATATATATATATATATATATATATATGCTCAGTTGAAATCAAGCTCACATTCTTTTTTTTTATTTGCTGGTAACGGTTTTTCAATGCCAATCTCTCTTTCTATTTCATATATCTGTGTCAGCTACGTCCGCACATCTGTAATGTGTCCCAGTGTAACATGCTCAGTTATTCTTTTCAATGGGTTTTTTACTTTGGCTCCACTCACACATGTGCATTGCATGAAGAAAAAAAAAGGCTGTAGGGGAGGCGCATGCAACCCTCGGATGCATTAACTGAGGTGGCAGAGCAACTCCATGCAGCGCTTGAGTCGGCAGCGCGACAGCTTCGCGCTGGAAGACGTGTCCGGTGTTCTTTGGCGCTTCTTCCATCTGTTGCGCTGGCGGGAATGCCGCATCGATGGGGTACTGTCGAGGTGATTCAGCTGCAAGAGGACCTTTTTGAATTACTGGTCGGCGTTGGCAGTGTGATGCTGGCGGAGTCGTTTATGGGACTTCTGAGAAGATTACAACATCCTTTCAGGTCGCTGACGGATGGGGGCGACCCCGCGCCCCCGATTATTGGTCCCCTGGTGAAACGACTGCCCCCGGAAGGGGTGTTGGCAGTGTCGCTGCTGCTGCTTCCTGCGCACACGGATCTCTGGAATGGACGACGGCGCGGGCTGCGGGAGACAGCCCGCGCCAGTGCTGTAGCTGAGGAGAGGGTTGTGCATTTCTTGCTGCCACTGCTGTTGCAGGAGATTCTACTGACATCTCTCCTCCTGAGCTTCCACTACAAGAAGCAGGAGGTTTGGGTGCACCGCTGGTGGGTGGTGCACCAAATTTTAACATTAGACGACTTGGATTTGGAGGCGTTTCACACGCATGATCGCGCTGTGTTGTTTGAAGCTGCAGATGGGCACCCCATGAATTACAACGCCTGGAACTACCGACGACAGGTGTTTGCGTGTCTTTTTAAAAGAGAGAATATTACGGAAGGTACCATCAGGGCGTTGCTGCTGGAGGAGCTAAACGCCGTAGTGGAGTTCTTTGAGCGGCATAACGGCGACACTTCCGCCACTGTGTACCTAACGTTTCTTCTCGAGCAGGCAACGGCACGGTGGGGCGCCACTGACGATGGCCACAAATTTGTTGCCTCACACGTATGGAGGAGGCTGCTCTCAGTGACTGCGCAGGAGTTGCGGCGACACTACGATAAGGGACATGAGGCTGTCTGGGTGCTGCGCCTTGCCCTGATGCGGTGGGCTTTATGGGAACGTCCTTCATGTGGCTGGACGCTCCAAGACGAACTGGAGTTTATTGACACGTACGCGGCTGTGGCGACAGTGTTGGGGGAGGAGGAGGGTGGAGCGAACATGAGGCCAGACATTACATGGGTAAACGTCTCAGGTTCGTGCTGGTGGACGTCGTACCACGCGGTGCGTTATGGCGTTCAATTGTTGAGGATGCTGTAGGTGTAATGTGGCGGCCCATGTTGTTGTTGTTTTTTTTTTTCCCCTCCTCCTGCTACTACCACCACTAGTATTGTTTTTGGCTGTGTATGTGTGTGCGTGTGGCCTGTCACTCACTCCGGATGTCCTTAGGGGGTTGAGGACGAGGGCCACAGGCGCTTCTTCACGCCCGGGATGCTTGTTGCCACCCAGGAGTATACAGCGTGGCGGTTGCAGCCGTCCAACCTCTACAAATTTGCCTCCTTCACGAATAAGGCTCCCAGCACCGGCAGCTTGGACGCGCCGTTGATGCAACTTTGACGCAGGTGCTAGACCTACCGTTTGTGCCGCTTGTTGGCTGCCACTTTGTTTACTTCCAGCGCTGTCCTTAGCCTCTGCTTTGCCTTTTGCACTCCCTGCACCTCCCACTCCTCAAGATTGCGAACGAGTTATTCCAAGTATTAGGGGAAAAAAGTCTATCTGAAACATCTAAAATTGGGTGTTGAGCGGGCGGAGAAAAAAAAGAGCAAGTACGTGTTCGTGTAATAGGAGAATTATCTACACAAACCCAAAGCCCATGACAGAGACTATTGGCGATTATTTTGTTCTCCGCTCGGAGGGGCACATCCACTCCAGTGATGTACGACATGTGTCGTCATCCAGCGGGGTGCTTCTCACCGCGTCGCGCGATCACACTGCGATGGTTCTCCCAGACCATCCCTGCTCAGACACCATCCCGCCCGGTCTTGTTTTGGCAGGTCACACGGCATTCGTGAACTTCGTCATCTTTCACCCCTCCATGACGCTTCTTGACGGCGAGGCCTGCATTGTCACAGGCAGCAACGATAAGCACGTGGCGTTGTGGAACCCTGTAACTGCGGCGCTTGAGGCAGTACTGGACGGTCATGCGCATGGAGTCTGCTGCGGTGTTGTGATGTCACCCGACTGTGGTGATATCGTGACAGGCGATTGGGGGGGCGTGTGTGTTGTGTTTGACTGCGCAACTGGTGGCATAAAGCAAAGCTACACCGAGCATAAGACGGCTGTTCGAGCCGTCGCTCAGCTGCCGGGAACGAGCACCATTTTGACTGCCTCGGGCGACAAGACAATCCACCACTGGGATATGGTGACGGGGGCCACGCTAGCCGTGTTTGTTGGTCACAGCGACGTTGTGCAGTGCATCTGTGCGATGAGTGCAACCCGCTTCGCCACGGGGGGAAACGACGCAACGATTATCATCTGGGACACGACGATGCGTTCTACCCCACTCTGCCTCTTGACAGCGCACTACAGTCTGGTCTACGCCCTTTCCTACTGTCCGGCACGACGGCTGTTGTTCTCGGCCTCGGAGGATCGGTCCTTGAAGGTGTGGCGGGGTGGTGTGGTGGACGTGGCCTCGTCCGACCTGCAGGCGGAGCCCGTCGTCGTGCAGAGCATCAGTCACCCCTGCGTGATTTGGTCTGTTTGTGTGACAAGTGCGGATGACGTTGTGACCGGTGGCTCTGACGGTGTCGTGCGAATGTGGACAGCGGACGATGAAAAAATGGCGTCTGTGGAGAGGCTGCAAGCACTTGAGGCGGCAGTAGCCGCGCAAACGATTGACGTGAAGGTTGCCATCAGCGCCGGTCTCGATACGACGATGACGTCGTCAGTGGATCAGCTGCACCTTTGGAAAGGCACGCAGGAGGGCGAACGCCGCTTTGTCCGCACAGAGGGTGGTACAATTGAGCTCTATGTCTGGAACCGTGGCTGCTGGGAAAAAATTGGAACTGTGGTGGAGGGGCCTCAGCAAATGCATTTTACGGGTACGCCGCAGCCGCGAAAGAAGGAGTACCTAAACGGTGTGCCGCATGACTACATCTTTTGCGTGGATGTGAATAGTAATTTACTCAAGCTTACCTACGACAGGGGGCAGAGTATCCCTGAGGCTGCGCAGAAGTTCATTGACGAAAACAGCACCGTGGTCTCTCAAGCGCATAAGGAAGAAATAGAAAGCTTTATTCTGCGCAACATTGATCCGAGTGATATTCAGCAGGGAACAGGAACCACCAACACGGCTCCTGCGGCAGGCAGCACTGTTGCTTCTGCTTTTGGTGGAGGCGATAGTGAGCCGGTCTTCTCGCAGTACGCCCGTGAGGCTGCCGCATTGCAGCAGGCTGGTGCCACTTACACTCCAAGTTGGGGCGAGGCGCTGCGCAACCTCCAAACGGCGGGGGACTTTACAAGCGACGTTGCCTTTTCAGGTTACGCACGGGAGGGGATGTTACTTCAGCAGGAAACCACACGGTGGGCGAGAGCACCTCCGGCCACAGCGAGGGGGGACACAAACTGCAGTATTGTTAGATGGAACACCTACAAACGTTTCACGTCATTTAATATCACTGGGGCAAAGAATAAGATCGATGAGTTGACGGGTAACGCGCAGCTTAGTGCTTTGGTGGATCGGGTGGTAGCAGCGGCGGGGGAAGAACCAAAGCAAGCCCTGCTGGATGAGGTGACGACGCTGTACCACAGATTGCCCGAGTCCGCGCGCTTTCCCGCGTTGGACCTCCTTAGCCACGTCCTTGCGGTTGCCGCCCACCCGTTTGGTTGGGTGCAGCTGCTCCTATCTGCTGACGGCAGCGGCGGGAATGCACCCGGCACACAGGACTTCTTTCGGGGGTGCGTTCAAAATTTGAGTCACGTCACTGATGCGGAGGCTCTTGTGACGACACGCCTCTTCGCTCACGTGATCGCGGCGCTCGATAAACCGCCAGCGGGGGTGCAGCTGAACGCGGAGGAGGTGGCACTGCTCCTCGCAATGCTTGAGAAGCCGCCACACCTGCTGCTTAAAATAAAGCACAATAATTTGAAGCCTGCCTTAAGTGCACTTCTGCAAAACGCAGCGGTGTTACTGGCGGGGGACCCGGCGGTGCTTGGCCCCGAAGGGGCGCGGGAGGCCACGCAGGGAGTCGTGCGCCTGCTAGCACACTGGATTATTCTCGAGCCCATCTTCTCTCAACATATGCGAGACATTCTAGCAACGGCTATGACGCTAATGTTGCCCGACAGAACAGGAAGCAGCGGTGGCGGCAGCAGTCAAACCTCCGCCATTGCGGTGAAGGCGGGACGCACGCTACTTCTCAATGCGTTGCAAGCATTAAAAGTAGGACCGGAGCCGCATTGCAGGGAGGCGGCCACAACGCTTCTGAATCTGTTGGATGCCACAGAATAGCACTAAACGAAGGCACCATTGGACCTCGCACGAAGAATGCTCTTCTCGTGCAGGGCTCCAATGTACCCTCCCTTTCACTTTCCCCTCTTCTACCTCTTTGCAGTGGCTACCTACGGTACTTTGCTTTTCGTAGTCCACCTCAGTGCGTGGGAATAACCCTGCGTGGACGAGTGTTCTAGAGTCATTTACATGTTACTGTGGTGGTGTGCGTTTTAGGCCGCCGCTGCCGCTCCGCTCCGCCTTTTTTTTTCTTTTTGTTTGTCTGTTTGGGTTCATGTAGGACTTTTTAACAAATGCTCACTTCCATTATTTTTCGTTCTTTTTTTTTCTGCCTTGCCTCGTTTTAATCACTGTGTGTGTTTACGCTGCGACGGTGGCCGGGGAAACGGAAGGAAGAGTAGGAGGCGAAAACGGTTTTTGACAGATACATTTGAAAAGTCACACAGAAAAGAAAAATGGGAGGAGAAACGGGGACCGACGGGTCAGTGAAAGGCTTAAACTCAGAGGTGCTTATCGCGACGAAACCGCTTATCAGTGACTTTTTCCGTCACGCGCACCAAGTAGCCATGCAAAAGTTGTTTGGGCAACGCGCGCTGAATTGCAGCCCTTTTGATCTCCCATCGCCCATGTCGCAGCAGGGTCTCTCTCAGTCCAGCGTGTCGGTTGAGCATGAAGAAATGAGTGCTGCTAGCTGCGCCGCCATACTTACCTCGGATGGACCCTCCCGTCTGAAGCTGTTTGTTCTTTCCCCGTCAGTGGCAGAGCCGCCGCGGTACTGCTGTAAAGGTATCCTCGCCGAGACGGAGTCCCTGCATGCGAAGCATGCCGTAGAGTACGAGTTTCTCGTTCCTGCAATCGCCTCGGCCATCGAGGGCGTCGTCATTGCACATGCAAAGTGGCAACGGTGGTTAACTGCGCTGAGGGCGCTGCGGCAGAAGGACTCTGAGGTGGAGCTGGGAGCAACTGCTCTGCAGTATGTACCAGAGGCGGCTGACGCGGATGGAAACACGAACGACGATGCTGCCTTCGCTGATGCAGGGCTATCGAAGAACGCGAAACACTTCCCCGAGACGAGCGATGTGCCGGGCATCACCTTTTCGGAATATGTGCATCGAATTGTCGAATACACGTACGTGTCACCGTCTGTGTTATTGATTGCCTGCCTTTACATTGACCGTCTTCTCACCCACAAGGCCTCCCTGGTCCTTACAAAACATAACATCTTCAAGCTGTTCGCTGTTGCAACACGCGTCGCCAGCAAAGTCATGGATACACGGACACTTAGCAACAAGAACTTTGCCCGCATCTGTGGCATTCGAAACTCTGAGATGAATTTCCTTGAGGCACATTTTATGCGTGTTATTGAGCTGGACCTCTACGTGCCGCCTGAGGAGTTCTACAGTTACGTTGAGGACCTCGTCACGAGAGTCCCTGCCAAACCGCCAGCACCCAAGGATACAGACACGTGCGCTGCCGGCTTCGAGCCAGGGGGGAACTTCCTATTTCCCCTTGCACGCTCAGTGAGCACGGGCAGCACGGGCAGCACAGGCTACAGCGAGAGCAAAAGCGGCCGTGAGGGACAAAAAAGGGGATTAAATCCACTTCCACCCGTCGTGCCGCCACGCGGCAGAGCCACACCAGGCACCAGTCCCGTTTCTACCCCATTAAAAGGCGCTGCCGGCGTTATGGTGAGAAATAAGCGTGCTGGTGCTGAGCTAGGCAGTAAGCCGGGAGGTGGCGGTGCTGCCGTTGCGACACGTGGTGCTGTGGTGCCTCTGGTTAGTGTTAAAAATAATGAAAAGGGCGTATTCAATTCCTTCAGCTCCTCAATTGCGATGCCGGCGCCAAGGACCTCGCGACTCCGCATGTGCACCACGAGGAACCTCAAAAGCATCCGCAGTGACTGCAATACAATTGATGGTAGCATGACCTTCAACGGCGTCACCGCGTGTTCGGAGCGTGGGAAGGTGCAGGGGTAAACCCAGCCGGAGTGAAGTAAGGCGTCCGTCGGAGGCAGTCTGAGAAGACAGTTGATTGCCGTTTATCAAGTCTCCTTCAATTTCTTTCTCTCGTTGTTCATCCCACTCTCTTCTTTTCTCTTGATGATGTCGATTGCACCAGCCGGCAGGGGGTAGGGGCCGAGGCACCAGCAAGGCGGGAGGGATACGTATGGAAGGATAGGTAAAGGGAAAATCTGCAGCTACGAGTGGAAAAGAAAATAAAGAATTAAAAATGTGGTGGTGAATGAATCAACGTCTGGTACTTAGAAAGAAAACAACAACAACAACAACGAAAACGTTCCTTACAAGACAAGAGAATTCATTTGAATCTTTTTCATTTATTGTGTGTGTGTGTGTTTTTGTTACTTTTTTAGTGTACGGTAAAAATTTTTTCTTTGCTTTTGAATGAGAGGGAAAACAGAAATGGGCCAGAGTTCTTGTTACAGCAGTAACGGTGTAAGATCACTGAATCAAAAAAAAAACGAACTACAGCCCAGGCGCCCGGTGCGCACACCAAATTGAGTGCTACGTGTCTGCCCATCTCTAGCGCCATCATAAAAATCGATAAAAAACATAACTAGCACGAGGCAAGGCCTCAAACGTATTCAAGGAGTCTCATAAATATATACATATATATACAAATATATATATATATATATATATATATATATATGTATATATACAATACTATTATTGTTATTATTCAAAAGGATGCTGGCACCCGATTAATCAACAAAAGAGGTTTGACAAAGAAGGTGGGACTGGGTGATAGCGGAATGAACAGGAACATGCCTTGGTAGATTACCTTTGTGTTGTTTTTGTTTGCTTGTTTGCTTTTTTTTTTCCTCGTCCTACCGCAAAACTCCTGTATTATAGTGTTATTTACTTGGAGGAGACTCCGGTGAGTGCGGGCCTATAAAAGGTCACCACTGCTTCAGTCAGTATCAGACCCAGTTGTTGTAGATTAGTGTATGGAACAATTGGTTTGTTTGTGTGTGCATTGAATGAATTTTATAATGAGGTAGGCAGTACATAGTATAATGCATCAAACTGATAGAGTTTTTAATACTTTTTTTCCTTGGCAGGCATAGGAGAGGTAAAACCCTTCTCCAGAGACCTGCTGAACTTGTATGCTGCCCTTCTCCCGAACAATACACTTGCCTCTGCCTCGTGGTGGTGGTGGCTGTTGACGAGGGCCAGCGGGATCTGCTTTTCTACTACTTGTTATATGTGTAAGCATATACAAGCGCGGTCTGTTTTGTTATTTTTGGACAGCTTTGGTAGAAACAAAAGAAAAAGAGAAATTCTACTTTTTATTTTTATTTTACGCCTTTGGCTACGTGTGCTTCATCATACATTTTTATCCATAGGTAAACGTTATTTTTTTTATTTGGGCAATTAACAGCACACTGTGTGTGAACCCCATTTTTTTTCCCCCTCCCCTGCTTAGTGCGTGTGTTTTTGTTTTGTAGGTTTTGTACCTGCTTTATCAGTATTGATGCTTATGCTTGTTTGGTTTCGCGGGCCATTACCGTTGGGCGAATTTTGCGCTTCTGGTTTTTTTCATGCGCCTTTTTTTTTGTTCTTCTTTTGTTGTCATTTTTGTCTGTGAGAAACTGCGTCGTTTGATTTTGTTGCTTTGAACTTTCCTTTTTTTTTTTTTTTTTTGGGGGGGAGGGGGTGCGCTCCTCCGTGCCAACCCGCGCAGTAATGCGTGCGGTGGGGCGTGCAGGTCGAAAGAATGATCGACGGGGGAGGCGTGGCACCACCGTCCCTGGCACCCGCAGGGATTGGCGTACGTGCTTCTGCGCCACAAGCGTTAGGCCTCCGGACACGTGGGAGCGAAGTCTCCTGTGCGTGTGTGTGTGCGGCGATGGGATATGGGAAGAGAAGCGAAGAAGGGAGAGCGAAGAAGAAGTGGGCCATCTCGGCTCCGTCTGGCACTTAACTATGACCACAAAGGTAAGTGAGTGGCAGATGTGGCTTGCAGGGCCACATTGCCCCAACCGTCATTGTTCTTTGTTTTTGTTTTTTTTTGTTGATTCCTGCTATTCTGTTTTACGTGACCTTTTTTTCGTTGTTGTTTTTTTCCTCCCCCGCCGTATGTGTGTGTGGGTGTGTGTGTGTGTGTGTGTGCAGCTGTGTGGTCCCACTCTATTTATATCTATATAGCATACATATCTCTTTTTTGTTTTTGCCTTTTGCGGCTTTCTCGCATCGGAGCAGCGAAGGGAAGGCAATTCAAAGGTGTAGGCGCGCACCACTAGGCTGCCGTCTACACATACATATAAATATAGTATAATAATAACATTATATATATAATTAAATAAATATAAATAAATATATATATTTATATATATTGATATATTTATATATATATATATATATTTGTATATCTTGGTGCGTGAGTGGGCCTACGCTCCCCAATGGCGGCGGCAAACACGGTGACTAGCGCAAACAGATGCGTGGATAAACAGCACAGCGGCAAGCTGCCCACTGCGCAGACGCTTCTCACGATCCACGCTATCTATGACCTGCCGCGGGAGATGCAGCAGCTGAACCCGCAGCGGGACCAGCTTGAGCTCGTTGCGCGGCCCATAGTGAGGTACGACTACCAGGAGCGACACATCGCCTTTATGAAGTTAAGCGAGCGTGTGATGCCCTTCTCCCCCTCCTCCATTTTGTACAAGGGGGGGCGGTTTATAGTAGACCTTGGGAACACCGCCTCCCCGAACGCGAGCACGACAAGTATGCTGCAGGGCGTCTCTCCGCATAGCTCACCATGGCCGCGATGGCGTCCCGCAGCAGAGGATGAAGGGAATGAGGAGGAGGAGGAGGACGGCAACGACAACAACCCGCAGCGAGGTATGATAAATGGAAATCAGATTATGCTGAAATACCCTTGTCCGCATGGTCTCTTGACGCTTATTGATGTCATGGTTGGCATTCGTCAGCATCGCTTAGGATCCTCCGTGGTGCGATGGATTACAGGCACCCCAGACACCAGCACGCCCTCCAATGGCGTTGGATACTTCACTGTGGCAACCGAAGAAATACGACGGAAGAAGTCTGTCACGCGTACGGTGGGCCTCAGTGTGGGAGGTGTCATCTTCTCCGTCTCTGTCAATCCCGCTGACGACAGGGACTCCATACTTGGACGTCTCATGCAAGACAAGAATCGTTACCTCAGAAGTCATGACAATGAACTCTTGGCGAAGCTGGATGTGTCTACCATGTTGCGTGATGGGTTCTCCGAGGAGGAGATTCACCGACACATGCGGCTGCTTGTGGATCCTGACTACTATGCTCGACGCCTGAAGAACCTGCTGGCGCTCTACCCGTCTTACGGGGATGCGGAATGGCGGCAGGGTGGGATGCAGCTGCTGCAGGAGTATGCACCAAAGGAGGAAGAGCTGATGCGCCGGGCCATACTGGAGATTGGGCCAGAATGCTCTACTGTCTCCGCGCGTCTCCGCCTTCTGGCCTACCGCAAAAAACACCTTCTTGGAGACCAGAGCATACTGTCTTGCCTGCAATCCGCTCTGGGGGGAAACATCAACGAAACGTTGGTGAATGAACCCGAGGTTATCTTTGAGGTCTTGATAGAAAAGTTTGGAAAAGAGCCGCGGCCATTGTCTTACCTTTTCCCAGTGCAGAAGTATACACCAGACAGACGCACGTTCTTCTTTGAGACGCTGCACTCTCCGGTCAACCACTCTGGTGAGAAGCACCGTGACATAGCCCTGGCCTCTCGCGGTCAGCGGGTGCCCTTTACCATTTCGCCGTGTGAGCGACCACTGCACTTGGGTACCTCGGGTGTGCGGCCTAGTGAGGCCCCGAGTGAAATAGAACTTCTTCGTGAAAAGTATGCCCCAGAATTTGCTCAAATTGTCCCCTCCATCGCGAATGCTCTCCAGGCGGTGGTGGAACAGAACCGGAAGCTCGTCCACTCGGTCGCAGCCGATACTAGTTTTGTTATCTTTCAGCAACAGGGGGTGAGGCTGCAGCTCTCCTTTCAGGACTTTGTGCATCGCACGGCGGAGTACACCTTCGTCTCCCCCTCCTCCCTCCTTGGTGCTATAATCTACCTTGACCGCCTCTGCCTTCGTCACCGTAACCTCATCATCACGGAACGCAACATACTAAGACTTTTCTTGACCTCCGTACGCATCGCCTCAAAGACTATGGAGTTGCGTAGCGTTAACAACCGCCACTTTGCGGAGGTCTTTGGATTAGACACGAAATCACTGAATCTTATGGAGGAGGTGTTTGTCAAGCAGATGATGTTTGACTTTTTTCTCTCCCCAGAGGAGTTTGGGAGCTACGCAAGTTTGTTACAGCCAACAAATGCTGACCGGATGCGAACTTTGTCGACACATCGTGCGCTTGCGGCAACAAGCGAGACGGTGGCCAAGGGACCGTTGAATACGCAGGAAACACAGAGGAAACTTGGCACACCGGTTGCCAATGCTGAGAACCCTCATGCCGTGAACCAGGCAGAAACTCACAGGCGGGCAGATATTAGAGGGGAATACATTGTTGATGCCAAGGAACCAACGGGAAATGCAGTTGCCAACTGCGCTCAAGTGGCGCCGTGCGCCGGGGGCGTTGGGCGGAATGAACGCAACAACCGGTTGGAGGCGTCGCCTAAGAAACTAGCCGTTGGAGTAGGTGGCGGCGGCCATGGCCTCAACTACATTAGTGTGAACAGCACCAGTAACACTGCAAGGACGGCGGGGGATAGTAACGGGGATGCCTCCAAAGTAATGGCAGTAGGCGTCAGCCAGTCGGAGCGTAAGCACAAGCTTGTGGCGTAAGTCGGCCCTGTTCACCGCGTAGAGGCGCAAATGCACCCAAAGCAGAGGACACAGCAACGACCACCACGGAAAAATAAAGATGGGGGCAGTGTGGCAGGGGCAACATCACTGACACCTTTTCCATTGAGGCAAAACGAAACTGCGATCAAACGCGGGTGACTAGAGAAAAACTATAATATAATCACTCATCCAGGGATAGTGAAGTAACCGGGGAAGGCAAAACGGAGGAAGAAGAAGGGGGGAAGGAGATCTCGCTTCCTATTTGCCTTTTTTTGTTTGTGGAGGTTTTGTTGTGATTGAGAACTTGCAAGGTGCAAGGCGCAATCAGGCAGGTATCTCGTAACATGCTCTAAGAATAGCTTTTTTTTTCTCTGCAACTTGTCAGTGCGTGAGATTTCTCACAAGAGCGTTGGAGCTCCAAAGGGCCCAACCCTACTCTCGCCGCCCCGCCCCACGAGATTAGCGGATTGGAGGTGCTTTGAGCGTCTCCTTTGCGACATTACTTACTAATGTGTAGATAATGGTGAGGAATCTTCTTGAGTACCCTTGTTGTTGGATATTAAATTACTATGTATATAACCATACAGAAAAGACGGAGAAAATATACGTTTTTTTTTGTTTTTGTTTTTTTTTTCATCCCCCTTTCCACTGTTTCTTTCAGGGGAAAAAAGTAGGGCATCGACTGTTCCATGAGCGCCGTTGTTGCTGTTTTGCCTTGCCTCTGTATGTGTGTAGGTTTGCGGTATAGAGGTGTGGGGGAGAAAGGGAATTGACGCGTGCAGGTGACTCCTGACAATCCTTCCTCGAGCAATATGGTCTTACGTATAAAGACTCTCTATCTTCCCCACGCTCTATTTCCTCTCTTTGATTGGCTGCTCCTGTGAGGCAATGCAGCGAAGGCTATGTTGGATCTTTCTGCGCGTTTTTTTTTTTTCGGCTTTTGGAGTGTCACCTTCAAAAGCTTTATTGAGGCGAGTTTACTGGGAACCACTGACCCCACGCTAGTTTGTTTTTATGTGATGAAGTTGTATCTTTCTCCTTTGTTCTCCTTTTCTCTCTCTTTCTGGGCATACCGTCATTTTTCTTTCCGCCTTTTTTTACCATTGTTTTATCTATTCAATCTTGGTTTTACCGTCTGCTGCTGTGACGGTGCCTTTTCTCTGGGGTCTTTACGTGTGCGAGAGGGGGCGTGAGCGATACTGGCGATATTTAGCTGGTTTTGTTGTTTTGTTTTTGCACTTTTTTTCCACTTCGCGCGGCATATAGATTTGTATGGCACTTGAAAACTTAGTTTCGGACTCACGCTCCCCGCTTTGGTATCTCATCGGAGTATGCTGCGTGGAGCCGAGAAGAGGAGCTGCACTCAATGGCAATGGTGTGGACTATTATTTATTATTGCCTGTTGTATCGGTGATTCTTTTCCTTCTTCCTTGCTTTTTCGTTTCCTGTGGGGCTTCTTCAATCCTTCACAGTCCCCTTCCCCTTCCCCTTCCCTACCCCTACCCCTACCCCTACCCCCATCCGTTTATCTCTCTCTTTCTTTCCGCGCTTCGGTATTTCTTCCTCTTCAATGCTGCTTTTTTTTTCCACATCGATGTGTGATGTGGCGCAATATATAAATACGCGGCGGGGGTGATCGGGGCACGCCTTTCGAGCTGTTTTATTGGTCTTTGATCATGCGTGTGTGTGGAAGTGGGAAACGTGGAGTCGAATAGCGCGGGGAAAGCATATATGTGGATTTATGTATGCACCTTTCCCTGTGTATGTTTGGGGGGATTTTAAAGGATTACTTGTGTCTTACGCATGGAGGCTGGTTTTTGGCCTGCTTTTTTTCTGTTTTGTTCTGCATTTCTCCCCGATGCAGATACTTGTGGTAGGAGTAGGGGAAGGGGGACTCTTTTTACCATACACCCTTTTTTCTTGTTTTTTTTTCCTCTTTTCCCTCTTTTGTTTCCTCTCTTTTCAAAATACCATAGTGATGGTTGTTATTATTACTGTTGTGTGTTTCTCGCGTCTTCTCATCTCTTTATCTATCTCTCTTTCAGCCCCCACAGCTGCCGGAGTCTTCCTTCGTCTGTGCATGTGTCCCTCTCTCACGGTGCGTGTGCGGACAGGCGCCCCGCGTCGCACATTTCCGCCGCGAGCAGCTATGTCTGTGCGGCACTTGGGCGTCCGTGTCACTTGCGCGCCGTCGACCTCTACCTCTCCTCTTCTTCACTTCTCTCGTCGTTGCCTCCGTCCAGGCGTCGTTGGGGAGAAGCGGGAGAGGAGGTGGGGAGAAAGCAACGTGCGCAACACCACTTTTTGGTTTTGTATTAATATATATATATATATATATATATATATTTGTCATGCGTTCTCTCTTGCTTTTAGGCATCCTCGCTGCTGTTGCCGAGTCGCGGGTGGCCTTGAGGGCCTCACTTACTGCCTGAAACTTCACTTCCTTTTCTTCTCGCACCCCCACCGACAGTTGAGTGCATTTGCGGCTCTGAAGATCACAGAATATATAAAAATATATATATTCTTATTACTGTTGTCGTTGTTGTTTTCCTCTTTGCCTTCATTTGCGGCGCCCGTCGATGTTCTACTCTGGCTGGAAGTTTCCCACACCGCAGCGCATTGTTGTGGGCGAAGGCCAGCATGGCACCAACCACTTTGTCCAGGAGACGTCCAGCCCTGGCATCTGTCTCATCCACTTTCTTTCCAGCAACATGCGGCTTGGCCCGTCTGCATCCGCCGCCAACAACGTCGCGCGCAGAGAAGGCAATGGACGCATTCACCTTAAGAGCGACGTCCCGATTCACCCGTACAGTGGCGTGTTTTACTTTGAGGTGGAGGTTCGATCCGTCGCAGCAGCGGCTGGCGGTGACGGACGCAGCTTTCCCCCGAGCTCGGCTGAGCCTGAACTTGTCATTGGAATTTGCCACGAATCTCTTCCGCAGCATGCACTGCCCGGTGAGGACTCGAGGAGCGTTGGCCTCTTCACGGCCCAGCGCATGGCGTACATAAACGGAAAGGGCGAAGGTGAGGCGGTGCGCTTCCCCACTGGCGCACGTTACCGTAGCGGCGGCGTGGCTGAGGGCAGCACAAACGATCACCGTGCGAGAGGGATGAAGGTTGGGGATACCGTTGGCTGCATCGTCAACCTCATGGATGGTACCGTGCGCTTCACCTTCAACGGCGAGCTGCTAGACGTCGTGGCCACGCTGAGTCGCCGCATGCCACGACACGGTTACTACCCCGCCGTAGGCATGTTTCGACTGCTTCCCGCAGTTTGCTTGCGAGTCGTGTTTCCGCCGCTGGGCGGTTCTGCGTCCGTCCCGCGGCCCGCTATGACACAGAGGGCGCCACTACCACCACCGGCAGCGGAATCGGCGGTGACAGCTACTACTAACACGAATTCTGCGGCAGTGGCAGGGCTGGGGTCGGCGGCGGCGGCTGCTGCTGCTTTTTTCCCTCGACAGGAAACAAGAACGACGGCAGCTGGGTACTTTTTATTTAACGTAGACAGGTACTGTGAAGGCATTGCAGACGAGTTGGTTCGCTTACATCAACAAAAAATCGCCACTGATATACAGAACGAGGGCGAGGAGGGGGCTGGTTGCTCCTGTCGGGATGCGAGTATTATGGCTGTCATACGAAAACACTTGGCAGCACGAGGAATGACGAAGGCCCTGTCGGCCTTTGAGAAGGAGCGAAAGGAGCTGCATTGCGCCACCGCCACCGCCTCCCCTCTTCAGGAGGGAAAAACGGTGCATAATCCGGAGAAGGCACATGCAACACGCTCAGAAGAAAACACCAAGAAAAATTTAAAGCACAATCTACAACGTAGGACTAATGTTGGCTTACACACCAACTTGGGCGGCAAAGTGGTGGATGAGGAAAGTCAAACCATTGCCTACAGTCTTCATATTCAGCAGTTGCGGGAAGACATTGGTCGTGGCGACATGTTCGCCAGCACACAGCGAATTCTTATCACCGGTGTTATATCCCCCACGATGCGCAACAAAATTTCCGCCGTGATGGAGGATGTGAATAGGTTGCCTAGCGACTTTTGGGGCACTATTTTTTTTGCACAGCGGCGGGACATCCTCTTTCTGTTGCGGGCAGCGCACCTGGTGGAAGTCACTCTTGGCGCCATGGAGGAGGGACTCGCTGCGCTGCGCTCGCGTCTCGCTGAGAGGGAAGAGCCAAACAGGGGCGCGACGTTCGAAGCCGCCGACGCGACCTCTACAAAGGCGCCTCTCACGACGGCTGAGCTCATGAAGCTTGCGTTTCACATTCTTCTTGAGCCCTTTGATGCGGTGTCGGCGGCCGCCAGGCACTACCAGTGTGCCCCCTCCGCGGGAGTGCGAACAGGGGATGCGGTAGCCTTTGGCATGCTTGATGAAGCCTTTGCCAAGAGAGAGTCCGGGTGGGTGAGCGACGATCTGGCAGCCCACCTCTTCTTCAAGGAGGACAAGGCCCTGTGGTCTGGACCAGAGGCACCGATTACACTGCTGGTGCGACGCAGCGTGCCAAACATACCACCACCGAAACCGAAACATCAGCGACGCATCGTCCAAACGCTCTCCATGCTGCTGTCGCACCAACGTGCCGTGTGTACCCGAGCGGAGGAGCCGTGTTATGCGAATGCGTCTTTGACGTGGGCAGAGGACTGGCTACTGCTCTTGCAAGACGCAAAGGTGCAGTATCGCGCCACTTGTTGGCGCCTCCTCCTTCACGCCATTGAGGAATTCAACGGCGCCTTGGAGTGTCGACTCCTGTCCTGGATATCTGGGCACGAGGAGGAGATGCAGAAGGCTGAAAAGGGAGGGGGATTGGGCCAACGCGGCGCCACCGCACATCGGCACGAAGGTGTAGGGGGGCGCTTGTTCCCCTCGCTCCGGTCAGCGTGGCGCCATGTTCATGCTGCGGCTGCACTAGAGCCACTGCTCAACATCGTAACAAAGGCCTTTAGTGACAGGCTCCATCGCGCCTCCACGTCGGCACAACTCGCCACAATGGCGACACAGAACAATACATCATCTTACTTTGAAAAGGGTCCAAAGAGAGGCCTTTCCTTCCCATGTGTTTTTATGGATAGTGAACAGGACGAGGATGACATGCAGCCAGGTGAAGCCGCATCGGAGCTTGCAAGCACGTCCGCTGCAAACCACGGCAGCCACAACAGCCGCAGCGCTGACGCGTGTAGGAGGGTGTCGTGTTACAATGATGATGTTCGCCTAAGTTTTATGTATATGAAAAGTATCTACAAGGCCGCTTTTGCGTAAAAGGAGCTGAAGTTTTCCCGCCATGCGTAATGCTTCTTTTTTGTTTGTTTGTTTGTTTGTGGTGTGCACGTTGACTTTATTTTCGTTTTTGAACGCATTGTTTCTTATGCTTAGTTTTTCCATCGCGGCGGTTTTTATTTTCTTTCCTTGCACCCTGTCTCCTTTACCCTGGTGTTTCGCATTGGGGAAAGGTGTCTCTTTCCCCAACCCAACCCACCCCGCACAGGCGGAATGTCTTTATTATTATTATTATGGTGCCTTTGTGTTTTTTTTTGTTCTTGTTGCTGTTTCTTTTGGAAGGTTTTTCCATGGTCCCGGATTCCCTGTTTGTGCCTTCTTTTTCGACAGTTTGTTGGTGTGGTCATTGTCGCACTATGCTTCGGGCGTATATAAGTGCGCCTTTGTCCGGTGTGGAAGAGGAAAAGGAGGAAAAGAAGAAGAGGGGTGCATGAGGTGAGATGAACTCTACAGCGTTTGTTGTTGTTGGTGTGTGTTTCCCTCCTTTTGTTTTGCTGATGGCATCGTTATTCTGCTCCTCCGCTTTGTTGTGGCTGTGTGGTGGTTGTATTGCTCGTGGAAGCAAAGAAAAGTTATGGCAGGACCGGGGGATTACTAGCCTCGGCTCTGCGGCTTTCACACCCCGCCGCTCTTTTTTGGCATTCTCTTTTTTATTCTGCTCACGCGGTTTCTGTCCAGATGGCAGGGCGTCGCTTCCAGCTGCAGGAGCATAGAGGCTGCATGCCTTTTTCGCTGGGGGAGTTCGGCGACACCGATGCTGCGCAACTCCCGCGTGCGCAGGAGGGTACGGCGAGCGGCAAGACATCCCACGTGTGGATGGAGGGCGCCACTGGAGAGGAGACGGGCGGGCGGAGGATGGGAAATGCTGCTGCAGAAGCAGTTGTGTCCGGGGCGAGGGTGGCGCAGATGGCAGCCGGTGACAACGGTTCGGCGATTGAAGAAGCCTGCGAGGGGGAGGCTGGCACGCTACTCCATCATCCTCGTGCGTCTGCCGCCGCATCGCCGTTGCGTGTTGCCACAGCCTGGACGACGAGAACACTGACGCAGGCAAAGTCCGCCTCCCGATCACCATGCACCACCTCCTTTTCGTATGCCCGCCAGCAGGAGGCGAGGATGTGGCGCCTGAACGAGGGGACCAAACCCATACGGAGTGTCGCATCCGACGCCCTTTGAGGACAGGCCAAAGCCCAGGGTCACGGTGTTGTCCGAAGGCACCAGCTGCGCCGCAGCATCGCAGGTGGCACGGCGGGAGGCGGTGCCATCTCGATCGGTTGCTGCCCCCGTTACAAATGCTACTGCTGACTCGAAGGCAACCGTTGAGGAGGAGCCGACAGCTTCCCTGCTGCCACCCACGCGGGCTCCCTTTTTTGCCTCTAGGAGCATCTTCCTTTACGCCGATGGGAAACGAGAAGAAGCGTTGCAGCAGCCAAGGCCCCAATATCAGGGCAGCAGTGTGGTTGAAGCCAACCTGTCTTTGTCGGGGCTTTCGAATGATGCATTGACATCTTCATCAATTTTTCTCTCTGCAATCGAAAAGGAAAATACTTCAATGGAAACCCCAATTCTCTTGCAAAAGGAATGCCATTCCACAGCAGCCGTCCTGAAAACAATGGTAACGGATCATCCAGGCAGCCATATCGTTGTTGTTGAAGATGAGCAGCAGCAGCATCACGATGCTGCATCCTCTGAAGACGTCGACATAAACCCAATGCTGCCAATGACGTGCCGGCGGTGGTCCGACAGCCCTGTTTATGACATTGTGGCTCATGCCCCATCCACTCAAGCCTCTGTGCGTGCGCCAAGTCTCACAGGTGCACCTCTAGCGTTACCTCTGGTCCCTGCATTCAAGCAGAAGGGGAATTTTCAATCACCATTGTGGACACTGGAGAAGCAGGAGGAAAATAGTGTAAAGGACACCGTGGCGCCTGCAGTGACTCCAGCAGCACGTTCGACTGAGAAAGGTGTGGGGGAGACGCAGCGACTGAATTGCTTTTCAGTGTCGAGCTTTCATCCGCCGTCTCCAGTTTATTTACATGTAGAGGCTGAGGTGGAGGCTGCGGGGCGGCGAGCTTGTGCTGGAGCTGAAGCCGAGACGGTGGAGAAGGGGGAAGTGACCAACCACCTGCCTCAACCCAAATACTGTCAGACTCCTCATCCATGTGATGATCAGAAGGAAGTGGAACGAACGCCGCCGTGGGAAATCGTGGCTCAGGTGGAGACAGTACAAGAGATTGTGCGCCGTTCACGTGAGACTGGGATGCAGTGCGAGGCAGATGTGGTCCGATACTTGAGGCCAGAAGAACAGCTGCTTTGGCGCTCGTTGAAGAAAAACTTGACCACTCTGCACGATAAGGCCTTGGAGCTGACTGCAGGGATCCGCGAATGGGAAAAGGTATATTCAGCAGATGCCTTGACAAGGGTGAAGAAGAGGCTTCGGCTGATCCAATCTAAAAAGCACCTGCTACTGACGGAGTGGGAAAAGGTGGAGGATCTCTGTTGGGAGGACCTCACGGCGCAGCTGTTGCACGGCGCCGGAAACCTATTGGGGGCCCTTGGCGATGCCTCCCTTCTGGCAAACGTTCTGAAATTAAGTGCGTGGTTGAGACTCTGCATGTGTCTGTGTCGGTGTGTGTGTCAGCCAATATATATATATATATATATATATATATGAGTGGCCCTGTGGTGAGTTCGTCTTTTGTGTCGAGATTGATGTTGGGGGAGGGGGCTATGAATGATCATATTTGTTGCTCAGAGCTTTGTGACTTGTTTTTGTTTAGCGCCAACGCAGCATCGTTTTTTTTTGTTTTGTTTGGTTAGCTTCCGGTGTGAGTTGTGGGCAGTGTTGTTAGTTCTGTTCGGTGCTATTTTCTTTCTGTTGGCTTTCCTCGGGCTGCTGTGTTATGGTAGTGAAGGGGAGGAGGCCACTGCAAGGCGCCGGTTCAAACGGGGGAAGCGCGGAGAGGAATAGAGGCAGACGCTGCGAGGCAAACGAAGGAAGGTAACAACAGGAAGAAGGAAGGTTTACACGAAAGATAAAAGATGTCGGGAACACATCATCTGTACACAAGCTCCGGCAGCCGGATGCCGCCGCCGCCAAAGGCAACCCCGCACAGGACGTCCAGCGTCTGTAGGACGCCCACGCGACGATACAACCCTGCCCAGAGGCTCCCATCGGCATCCTCCAGGACGGCGCAAAATGAGTGTCATGACCGTCAGCTAGCTCTCGTGCGTGGTAGACGGCAAAGCCCAGATAGTCCTTCTCGTCAACCTCGCCTTTCGTTGGAGGACGTCATTCAGGTACGGCGCCGACAAATAGATGAAACGACACATCTATCAGGACCATGCCGCTTGAGTTTTGGCAAAAACAGTCGTCAGGAAGAATGGCATGGGTCGCCCCGAGCTGAGGATCATGGGCATTTCAGCCGCATGCGGTTGTATCGCAGCAAAGAGCCGGTTTACCAAAGCTCCGTGGATGGCAGGGCCAGTTCCCCGCATGAGGCAGAATTTTGTGCTGCACAGAACTTCACAACGCGCCTGCGGCGTTCCTTGTCGCGTGGCTACAGCCCTCAGCGTAGACAAGCCGACCAGGCGGTGGTGGGTACGGAGCTGGCACCGCCGATGCCACTCCTTCAGGGCACGCACCGCACCTCCAAGAATCGTTACCGGACGACAATAGAACGATTTATTCAAGGTCAACCGTCAAACACCCAGAAAGAGATACTAACAATGTTGGAGGAGTACAGGGGGCGGGAGAGTGAGCTCTGTGGCGCACTCTCCGAGGCCTACAGTGATTCCTGGGAGGCTGCTGTGAATGGAAATGACTCTACCAGTCAGTCCCAAAGTAATAACAATCACGGCAGACTTGCATTTGAAAAACAGCAGGGCGTCGTGGCGAACAGGGCGTTTTCTCGCGTTGAGAACGGGAGGAGGCACATTGACCCCCGTAACGGACTTGGATCCGAAGACGGGTCCATGGTTGAATGCTACCGGCAAGGCACGTCAAACGCTGCCCTCAGTCTCCACTCAACTCCAGTGCAACAGAAGAGCAGCGATCAGAGCGTCAATCGCCCCCATTCGTTATCGGAACACTCCACACCCTTTTGCAGCAAGGGTATGAATAATCTAACGAGTGCCGAAAAGGAACACTACAACGAAGACACGAGCCCACTGCCTCGACGTGAGCCTGGTGGAGCCGCAAACGCAGCCTTGCCCCTAGGAAGTATTCTAAAGTACAACGGCGCGTCAACTCGCCCAGGTGGCATGTTGACACCGCCGATTCCTGCGGACCTTGTCGCACGTTGAGGCGAGGGGTGCCACAGATTTACACAAGAGGAACCAGGGGAATTTGGGGAAGCTGTGAGTAACACGTACTGGCTTCTTCTGTCCGTGGATGTGTCGGCATTGTACTTGGGAGAAACTTTTTTGTTTCTCAAAGGTATTCTTGGTAGGGACTGTCACCCTTGACTTTTTGTTTTCCTCCTTTCACGCACCTTTTCTCACTTTCCTTGTGCTTGTATTTCAGTATGGGATGCTTGACTCACTCTGTGGAGTGCATTGGGACGGGGAAGTTTAGCAGCGAGGAAGGGAAGAGGTGGATAAAGAAATGAGGGGTGGGAATGAATGAAAAGGAGGAGGAAGAAGAATAAGAAAATAGAATTTTTTAAAAAAAAACGGTACACATGCAACGGAAACCCCGGCGCAGTGCCCGCACAGACGCGCGCGTTTTAATGAGGCCGGTCGCCCTAATGTTTACTTGTCGCCGACGGCTAGTTGTGAAGTACTTGCCTTCCGTAAATACAAATAATCATATATATATATATATATATATATATGTGCGTGTGTATATAGCAATCTGAAGGTGGCACCTGGATTTACTTCTATGGTATTATTCATCATGATAAGCATACACAGCTATACATGATTAGAAATGCTCTTGTGGGAGGAGCAAAGAGAAGAAGGAGAGGGCGAGGACGCCTACTTCGTTCCTTGTGCCCGTTCATTCTTTTTTTTTTTGTTTTTTCTTTTTTTTTCTTTTTACGTGTTTGTGTGTCTAGACGCCCACCTACACTGCGGCAAGCGATGATTAGTGATAACAACGGGGGAAAAAAGCAGTTTGATTAGACTTATGGATGGGGCAAGGAGGGCCTCTTTCGGTATAGAATTACTTTTTCCCCCATTCTCTCTTTCCCCATACGTTGCGCGTCCCCCATCCTCCTTTCGCTTTGCCCACCCACCAGGACGCGTGCGCGCACATTCATGCGCATAGAAGGAAGGGAAGAGTGGTGCGGGAGAACACATTGTTTATTTGTTTGTTTTTTGTTTTTGTCCATTTTTCGCCCCCTTCTACTCGCTCCATGTCTCTCTCTCTCTCTCATGTTTTTGGTGGGTAAAACCCGTAGTACACGCGTGGGCATCTGCTTAGTCAAAGTGCGCGATCCCTGCTCCAGGCAACCGTGTAAGGGTGAAAAGGAAAGTACAAAGTTGAGAGGGAAGAAGCCGTTAGTGGCATGCCCCCGCAGTTTGCGTAGCTGTGAATTACCATTTTAGTTTTCTTCTGGTTTAGAGTGTGCGGCGTGAGTGCCCCACTCTTGCTCTCTTCTGTCTGTGAATGAAGTTGTGCTGTTACCTTCTTCCGTTCTTCTGTTTCTGTTTGATATTCCGCCTCTCTGGAGAGGCGGGGAAAATTTGTAAAGGCACGAACAAAAGGAAAGAGAGGGGACTGACTCACCATCGCATGCATGAGAATGATGTGCCCAACTACGTTTCGAGCGAAGATGTTGACGAATATGCTGCTTTTCGTAGCATTTCTCGCATCGCAGGTGTGCCGCGCGGAGAAGACTGCAGACGCATTGCAGCTCACGAGGAAGGAGGGCCCTGTGGAGTTGCTGCGGCTGGAAAACATGCGGTGGCATGCCGCGTGGGGCGCAGGAAACGTTGGCGAAGATGTTAGTGTCGAGACCCGTCACACGGGATGGGACGATTTCGGGGAGGTGCGCATCACTGATCCTGCGGGGGAGCGGATGGTGACCGTAACGATGCCACTGCATTTTACGTCGCTTCTGTGCGAGGAGTCGCGGAAAAGTGTCGGCGGATCCCTGCGCGGACGGTGCACGTTGCGACCCTCCCCCGCACTGTCGCAGAATGAATTCTTCTTTGAGTACCGCGTGACGCAAAAAGCCACAGAGGCCGGCGGAGGCGCGGTAACGGAGCCGCAAGTGTCTCAGACGTGCGGGCTCTACGAGGAAAACGCCCGTAGTGGCACCGAGTTGGAGGTTGGCACCGTCGTATATGATGCGAAGAAGAACGTCGGTGAGGACCAAACTTTTGTCATTTTAATTTGGCTTAAGCCCACACGCGCCGCTCAGGATCAGGTGGCGTGGCTGTCTGGTGCGCTGAGGCTCACGGGGGTGTCCATGGATGTGGAGGAGCGGCGCCATTGGATGCGACGGGCAGCATCGACAGTTGCGGGGCGCTGGGGGTGTCCTCTGCTGGCCGTGCTGGTGTTGTATGGCGCCCTCTGGACTCTAGAAAAAATTGTCGCCCGCCGACACCCACAGTCTGCGAAGCCTAAGCATGACTAGAAGGCAGGATACGGGGGGGGGGGACGAAACAAAATAGAAGAGTGGGTAAGGAAGTGTTTCAATCACAAGAACGAAACAAGAATGATAATAAAAAAAAGAAAAGGAGAAAGACAGATGGAAGCGATTCTGGCGAAACGACGGGGGAAGAATAATCCTTCACCTTTCTTTCCCACTCTTTCTTTCTCTTTCCTGTTGAGTGCGTGTTGGCGGCAACCGTGTTGTGCGTGTACGTCTTTGTGGGCGGCGGGATGCGAAGCTTGTGGAGAGTTGGCCCTACTTTTACTGATGAGTGGGGAAGGAGGTAAGGGGACGTTCTCTAGCTCTATTCACGCTGACTGCGGTGTGGAAGACGAGGAACCAAGTTCTGCCTAGTTTTTTTTTCTTTTTCTTGGCTTTGTGTTGCTGCCTGCTTCCTCTCCCTCTTTAAGGTCATCTCAGTTTATCCTCGGANAATACGCATAGGCAGGAGCGCACTGTTGCCTCCGTGCCCACATACGTATTTGCATCCACTCCACATGATAGGAAATCCAATTGAAAGCCTAGACCATTGCACAGATGAAAGGNGAGCTGCGAATGCTCTAC